ACTGCATCACTGCATCCATTGCACCTAGTATGTCTACCTGCACACACATACACATAAATATACACCAACCCAAAAAACGTGCGTTCAATTTGCGCATTTTGTCGGACGATGGCCCCGACGGGTCTCCACATATTACCTGTTGCCCCACAAGGAAGCACCTCAGATGTCTGGCATTAGTTGGCTTGAACCAATTGGTCCATTGGGTTGCTGCCCCTTTATGCCTGCACAAATTAGTTTTTTTCTTTTATCAAATTACGCTGAAGCTTTAATTAGTTGGCCAGCACAGCTGCAAATTCGGGCTTATTGGCATTGGCACATGTGTTAAGACCGATTAAGACGATGCCACAAAGAAAACTCTATATCGACTATATATTTATATCTATCAGGTTGATTCACTAGAATATTTGGTAACAAATAATTTTGAATTTATTTATGCATGTTTGTGTGTCTAACCCCACTCATGGCCCCCTTTGGGTCAACCCTTCTACGCATATGCCTTCCGTCACCGGCTGGCGGTGCATTGAACTCACGCAATGGCTGCAGTTTGTCGGAAACGCTTTATTATTCATTTATATTAACAACTAATTGATCACTGGCAATAGCACCTCACATTTGTACAATTTATTTTGCAAAATTATGTACACATTTCCCACATTTATCCGTCAATTAATAATCTCTTATTCAGTCTCATATTCCACCAAGAGATGTGTTTGCCAATTTAAATTGCAGTTTTCATCTTGGCAATCTTGACCCTGATTAAGAACAAATTATGCAACACTCTGCCAGGATACAAAAGAAAAACAATGCTCAAATATATTAAATACTATACATACTATATAAATTAAATACTATACTATATATCATATTATATTAAATACAAAATATACACAAATGAAAATATCAACTTACTTAATAAACGTAATCAATTGTTGCCAGATTTTCCATGATATGGATACAAAATTGTACAACATTTTTACTGTTAGGCAGTATTTGAATTTGGTTGAAGAAAATATATACTTTGAGACTTTATTACACTGTTTATCCAAAGTAGATGGCGAGGGTTATGTGAAGTAAAAACACTGACATAAATAAGACTGAGTCAATGTTCTGGTAAATGAGAGCAATGGCAGTAAAACTAGAATGTTTTTAATAGTTTGGCTCAGGGTATATTGTAGTCGAGCTCAGAATTCTCGACAACAGAATTCTCACCTGTTTTTTTAATAAGTGATAAAAGAACATTTTATTTCTTGCCTCAAACTCAAAATATCTGTTTTTTTTAAATACATTTTTTAATTTCTAATGCAGTTGCTGCGCTCTTGTTGATTGGGCACTTTGTGCAACAGCCTTACCCTTATCCCCACTCCTATCCCTACCCTTAACCTTCAAACTCGTCAACACACACGTCCACCCCACAACTGCCCAAGCTCATCCAAGTAAGGCATGCTAAATAAAGTGCTGCCCGCTGCGTGTCTGCCATCAGTGGATACGATTTACAAATGGCCATAACGAGTAAATATGTCAAGTGCAGGTGACCCGAAAATCAACAACACAGCAGCAGCAACAACAACAACAAAACAACTACCAGTTTGCATGACAAGAATTCCCGACTTGCAGATACCCTAAATCTGTAAACTTAAACAAAAAAAAAGACATATATTTCTTTAAAGAATGTACATTTTATTCAAGTTTAAAAAATATAAAATAGAGCAGCAAAAATCGGAAGCCAAATATATATATATATAAACAAATTCAGGTTGCCTTTTCATTTTTATTCTAATTTAAGATATCACTGTGCTTGATTTCAGATTGTTTCTCATCATTTTAAGCCTTAAATTGTTAATTGAAGATTTTACATTGTACATCGAAAAAGTCTTGAGATCAATTTATGGTCGGAATTACTAACAAATGTTTTTGTTTTGGGATCGAAAATGCTTTGTATTTAAATATACATGTTACATAATTTTCGACCATGTCATTAGACCATTTTTTAATTGGTTCAGGGTATTAAAAAAATCGAACGACTACGGATTCAAAAGCAACCAGCAAAAACAGACATCAGCTGAGAGTAGATGGAACAAATCGGGGGAGAAGTGGGCTAGAACGGGTGGAGCACCCACAGCAGCCGTTCGCCCTTTTGGTGCATGTGTTTCCGGTTGCACTCAGTGGCAAACGGTTGCCAGTGTAAATTGGTCAACTAAATAATGCAGCATCAGTTGCACCAGTAGTCAAGCTGTCAGTTTGCCACAGATACCCCTTCCGTCCATCCCAGTCCCCGTCCTCCTCCTCCTTCTCCCAGCGATGTTCACACAACTGAAAAAATGCAACAGCTGAGGCAAATTTGCATTCTATAAAATGTTAAAGTATCGAAATACATACATATTTCGACATACATACATACATATACATTTCTGGTCATTGGACAATGGAACTATTCGGTTTGGAGCTTTTTGGGACTCAAGACATTTAAATGCATTTACACTATTTTTAAATATCTAGTTTTTTATAATCTGATACCGAATCTAACCAAAAATCCCAAAAGCCTATGTCTCCCGCAATTTTAAAGATACATTCGAAATTTAAACCTCTTCCGAAAATAGAGGTTAAATGATTTGTTGGTATCACAGTATCAATAATCAACGTTCTTCCTTTCAATTTTCAATTTGAATATGTTTTTACATATTCAACTTGATCTCTTAAAACTATGTATCATCTTTGACGCATTTGTTTACATATTCCGATCGATAAAAGCATTTTGTTGCTTTCAGTGGAAACGCTTAATCACGTTCATCAAATGTATGAATTCGTTGAAAAAGCGTTTAAGGAGAAAAGTTGACAGATTTATCGCAAATTAAATTTTTAATTGCATATCTTCTCAAAAGACTTTCGTATGAATTAATAAGTTAACTAAATCAATGCATATTTGCTGAACTTTAGTTGTTTAGTTTTGAACCTAATTAGATATTGGCATCAACAAATTCGACAGAAGTAGAAATAATTGCAGTACAAATTGTTATTTAATATACTTCAAACAAAAACAGAAAATGTTCAATTTGCGTTTCCAAATTCGTTGGCAAATCGAAACTCAAAAATATAGCTCGTCTCTAATTAAGATGGGTGGGTTTGCACTGACTGGCTACTGGCTACTGGCTGCTGGCTGCTGGCTGCATGAAAGCCAGCCAGAAACATATGTTCGTGGTCTTTATTTGGTGGTCAGCCGTGTGCGATGTCCTTTTTAACCGCTGGCTGTTTGTCACTTGCAACCGCGACGGTCATTTCCGCTCCACAGTCGCCATTTTAACTGCCACAGTTGTAAAATCTCTGTCAATTGATAGGCCATGCCCCAATGATAATGATGATCATGATGATGATGCTGATGATGGAGTCTGGTCTGCTCTGGCCTGTTCTGTTGGCCAGTGGCCACAATTTAGCGCGCTGCGACTACCGAAAAGTTCATTGCAGATTGCCTCCGTCTGATGAATGCACAAATAATGGGCTGCATAATGCAAAAAGGAAATAAATTATTCTGCTAGTATTGCTGGAGCAGGTCAGGTCTGCCCATCTATGTATGTACGTATGTCTGTCTGTTTGCCTGTTTGTATGTATATGCCTCAGCTTGAGCACAGAGCCCATAGTCAGAGCCTGCCACTGTGCAGCAGACAGTCAGACAGAAGCAAACAGCGTAATAACAACAATCAGCAGCATTTTTCCCCTTCTGCTTCTGCTGCTGCTGCTGCTGCTGCTGCTGCTTCTGCGGAACGATCAACATGAATAATCATCATTATATTTACAGCAGTGAGCAAAGTTTGAAAACATAAGTTTTATATAGATTCATATCGCTATGTGGTTTGGTTTGCTAAAAATAAAAAATGCTGCTCATATTTTAATTATACAAAGTATTATCTGTTTTGAAATGACCAGCATCAAGCAATTGAAGCTCTCTATAAATAAAAACACTCATTTTGACAATCAGTCAACAGGTGATCAAGTTATGGCTGTGGAAAGGTTTTTAAGCATTGCTGGCAGACAAGAACCTGTATCTATCGACTGATACTTGATTATATCCATATATGTACATATGTACTGCCTGCAACATCAAGGGGAATATATTCCACATTCCACATCAAGATAGCACATAAAGTTTCTTCTAACTGCTGATCAAGAATATATACAGGCTTATCAGCTGTATCAGCTTCGATCCTTTCCAATCATAAGTTTCAATTGATGACAAATGTTTCAAAAAATGATGGAATTGTGTTCAGTAGTGTTATTATCATGATCATTGTGAAGATGGGCTAATTTTGTTTGATTTTGTTTCTGATCGAATTAGGGTAAAATTGAGCGTTCGGCAAAGTTTAGGAGCCAGCGGGTCGCGCAAGTCGCGACCAGGCAGCCAAGGAGGTGGCTCCCGGGCCGAGGACGTGTGCTGATTGTCAAAGTCGAAGTTCAGTATCGCAGTTCGCAGGCCGCGTGCGCGGCTTTACGAGGCGTACAGTATTGTGTGGCAATATACATATACATATACATATATATGTACATGTATATATATATATATATATCAAAAACTTGATGATTTGCATGGGTTGCAACTCTGTTTGAGCCAAAAGTTCATCATCAGCGTCGCCGCCAACGCGGCATGGCGCGTAATTGGCCAAGTTATTTTGCGCTTTCTGCCTGCCTCCTTTGGCAAATTGATTTTGCTTCGTGCCTCATCAGCAGCGACAATTGCCCTGGCCCTTTCGCGAGCTCATCAGGTTGATCATGTTGATCATATTGCTGCTGCTGCTGCTGCTGATCCGGCTGGTGCTGCGCACGTACTCGTTGCCCCGTTCTTTCTGCTGCTGCTTCTGGTGCTGTTGCTGCTACTGATGTTTTTTGCGGTTTCACACTTTGGTTAAGGTTCCATGCCCTTCGCACTCAAGTGGCTTTGTCGCGGTCAGCCAAATGAATGGGTCAAACCAGCAGCGCCTGGCAATATGTTTAAGAACAGCTCACACAAGAGGTATGTTTTAATTTTATTGATTTGCAACACAAGAGATACAAAAAAAAAAACAGAAAAAAAAAGATGAAAAATGAAAATGAAAGAGAAGTTGGATTCCACTATTTCGAATGAATGTTCAAATCGTGTTGATTGGCTTACTATACTATCTTTTTAATCATCTACTTAATATACTTGTCCATGAACTTTTTGTGGAAATCTGAGCGCAGCGCGTCGTTCACAAAGTGCGTCTTCTTCTCGGGCGCGGAGCGGGCACAGTTCTTGAACACAACATCATCATCCCAGCGTCGTTTGATTTTCAAATCGCCGCCGAGTCCAGAGGCGCGGCCAGCAGCCGATGCCGCCGTGCCCGGCTCATAGTTGATTAACGGATTGCCTGACAGAATGTTCTCCATTCGTATGCGTTCGTCCTCCTGCTTCTTCTCGGCCTCACGACGGGCCGTCTCCTGTAGGCGTTCCTGTTTGATCTTATGCAATTCAGCCAGCAGAGCGGCATCATCATCATCTGAATCACTGTCCGAACCTGAACTGTCGTTGTCCAGCGGCTCATCCGCATCGAGATTGGCTGCTGCCTGCTGTTGCTGCTGCTGCAGCAGCTGCTGCTGTGACAGACTTTCGAATTTGGCGCGCTTGTTGCTGCTGCTCGCACTGCTGTTTGCCTCAATCGCCTTGCGCACAATCGAGGGCAGCGCCTTGCCAGAGCTGGCGCCAGAACGGGCGTCACGTTCACGTTCCTCGAGCTCCTTGCGGAAGTCGCGATTGCGGATCTCATCGCTAGTTCCTTGGCCAGTTTCCCTACAGCAAAACACACGATCAATTGTTAAGTTATGTATATATATATATATTTACACATGTACATACCTGTATTTCAATTTGGTGTGTCCAGGCAGATCGCGACTTGAGTATTGTTTGCTAAGAGCACTCAAGTCTTTTTCGCCACGGCCAGAGCCACCGCGTGCAGGATCAAATGTGGGGCGCGCCGCTGTTGTCATTTTGAGGTTTTATTCGGTTAATAAATTTCTATTTATGAAGTTTTAATGCTTGATGTAAACGTTTTGTTTTATATTTATAAAAAAAATATTGTAGCTTTTTTTTGCTGCGTATCAGCTGCTTCTACGCATTCCAGGTATGAGTCTCGATATAAATTTAATATCGATATACTTCACATTTATCAATTGAGTGAAGGACAGTGTACAGAACAAAGTATGTTATCGATAATGAAAATCTCCGTATAAAAAGAGACGCTGTAAAACCGCTGGCAGATCATAAAGGCTTTCCGCAGCAATGAAAAATAATTGAATTCAAAATATCGATAACAAATAACACATGCCTGCTCCATGACGTGACGGCGTTGCCAGATTCAGTTTTACACACCACGCGAAATTTGTTCAAATTGACAAACAAAAGGAGAACAAATATGCCGCTGGAGTCGCAGCGGTACAAATATTATAAAGCGCAGCTTAGCGAATTGTTGCACACCACCATAGTGCACATACGCAACTATTATGACACACTTAACACCACAGCACCACATCTAATCACGCAGGCGAACCGCCTTTGGGAGTTGAGCCAACGACAACATCTAGTCGCTGGGTAAAACAAATAATGAAATAATGATCATTCCGATACCTACTACAAATATTTATATGTAATTGCCACAGCGTTGACCAGGCTGCAGAAGCAAGACTGCTGATATCTTCCCAAGTTGCACATCAGTCCATCCACAAGTTTCTGTTAGTAAATTGGCCCCAACCCCCCGCTGTAAATGTCAAATAGCTAAAAATGCATTCGTATTGTTTTTCTTGTCTTTCTTTCGTATTTGCAGCAATCGGCAAAATGGGAAGTTAGCTGAAATTGCCAAACAAGTGGCCGATTTTGAGAGGGAAAGCAACGCCCTAACAGAGGAACTGGGCGAGGTGCCAAAGTCGCAGCTTTGTCCGCTGGCCGACTGGCGTGCCTGGCTGTCTCAGGCATTAAGTGTGCTCCAGACCCAGGCAAAGTATTTGGAGTTGCATTCGCATTCACTGCTGCCCAAACTGGTGCAGGCTTCCACAGTCAAGCAGTTCAAGGAGGATCTGCAGTTAGCTCAACACTACGAGGCAAGCTTTCGCATGGGATTAGCGACAGCGGAGCGACGGCCGGAACTGCTGCCAATGTCAATGGCAATTGCAAACTAAATTACGCAAATATACAAATTTATCACCAGTCTTCATAAGCGATTTATCAATTTATTCGCGTTAAGCTGCCGATCATCAGCAGATCAGTTCCATCTTCCGTTCCTCTCTTTCGCATTTCCGCACCGATTTTCACAAATGTGCACAAAACAAAAATAAAAAAAAGCAAATTACACACAACCGCTATTTTTTTTACCACTGCAATACTTGAAATTTATTCAAAACATTTCAATTTGGTGTTGTGTAATTCTGTTTGTATATTGTTTATATTGTTTTCCAAAACCTCGGCAGCCTCGCGAGGAAATTGCCAAAATGTAGAAGAACATCTGAAAGTGAGAGTATAGTATACATGTGAATATTGTACAAATTGCAGTTACTTTAAACTCACATTTTAAACAAATCTCAAGCGATTGGCTGCTAGCGACTCCTAGCGAAGTCGTCTGGCTTCGCGTTCAGATTCGAGCAGTGTCAGAATATCTCCCTCGCGGACGGGTCCCTTCACGTTGCGAATGATTTGACGGTTCTGCTCGCCGAGGAATTCCACTTTGACCTGTGTACACTGGCCCTGGGAGCCGGTGCGGCCAAGAACTTTCATCACGCGTGCCCAAACAACTGGTTTGTCCATGGTTTTTGTGTATTTTCAATTCGTTTTCGCGCAGAGAATTCACGTGCGAGTTGCGCTCCAATTGACAGACGCAAGCAAAAAGGAAGTGGGCCGATTGTTGTTTCAGCGACGTAAAGGTGGCGGCGCTAGTGCGCAGTGTTGCTCTGACAAATAGTGCTGTAAGCGACCATGGAATGAAGTGTCAAATAAGTGATATTTGTGCTTCTTACAACTTAATGGCTTGCTTATACCAAAGAATAATTTTTCATTTAAATTAAGATAGTTAATTTTATAAATCTGAATGCTTAATAGCTGACAAATTAGTGAATTGGACATTTGACAGTTGCAACAGGCTCACAACACTGCCACAAAGCACAGTATTGCCACACTGTGAAATATAATAATAATGTTTCTCTATCTAGAAGAGTCTTATACCAATAATATTGTCTATTTTAATAAACGCGTATGAGTTTAATTCAAAACAAATAGGCCAGAAACTTGCATAGTGGCAAAATGTTCGATTATCAGCATTGCATGAGGCAACTCGACAACTCTAAACTGTCATTTGACGCGGCACCACGTATACATTTGACAAGTGAAAGTCGGCTGAATTCGTGCGCTACTTCGGATGCACGCATTGTTGCTGGCTACCACTCTGTTAGTTTCGCTCAAACGTGTCGGTCGCCAAGTTACCCACTTGCCCCAAATACTGTGCATTTTCGTTTCTGTCTTTCACACTCTCGAAAATTCATCAGTGAAATAACATTCTATCAAATCGAACAAAGATGAAGGACCTGAAGTTCTTTCTGCTGCTGTTGTTGCCCATCATCATTTGCACCTTCTCCTCACGTAAGTGTTTTTATTCGAAACACCAATCGTCGGCATTGTTGCTGTTGTTGTTGCGACTACGTGGCAGTCGACGTGTTAGCCGCTCAAGAAGTGTTTAATGAAAAAAAGCGTTGATATTGAAGAGCAGCACAACGGCGAATTGAGCATGTCTCAAGTTTTCCATCGCAATTCATATGATTTGGGCAAAAGTGTTGCGTTGGCAAATGGGCGCTAATATGCATTTGCACATCTCCATCTCGCTCACACACACACACACACACACGCATATATTTATATATATATATTTATCAATTGTATTTGCAGCAAACAAATTTGGTGCATACGCCGCCGAGCCTGTGGAAGATGATCTCGTTGATGTGGATAGCGATGAGGGCGCCGTAACAGGCGAGGATGCTGAGCCGGATGAGGATCCGGATAGCGGCAGCAGCAGGACCTCCCCGAATGCCGACACCTATTTACTATTCACGAAACCATTGCATACGGCCGGACAGCAATTGGATCTGCCCGGTGGCAAGCCGGTTGAGTTTTTGATCGGATTCACGAACAAGGGCGAGGAGGAGTTTGTCATTGAAACGGTGGAGGCATCCTTCCGTTATCCCATGGACTTTAATTACTTCATACAGAACTTCTCGGCGGTTGCATACAATCGCGAAGTGAAACCTGGCTTCGAATCGACCGTCTCCTATACGTTCATGCCATCCGATCAGTTTGCTGGCCGTCCCTTTGGCCTGAACATTGAGCTGGCTTACCGTGATGCCAATGGCATTCAATACAACGAGGCTGTGTTCAATGAGACGGTGCTGATCTCCGAAGTTGACGAGGGTCTGGACGGCGAGACATTCTTCCTGTATGTGCTGCTTGCTGGAATTGCTGTGCTCCTACTGGTCATTGGTCAGCAATATCTGTTGGGCAGCTCCGGCAAGCGTAAGCGTGCCGCCGCCAAGAAGGTCATCGAGACCGGCACCGCCAACGATAGCAACATTGATTACGACTGGGTGCCACAGGAGACACTCCGTGCGCTGCGTAAGTCTTATATGCATTAATAATAATAAATCCATTCGTTACTCACCGTTACTTTTTTCGCATACTTGCAGAGAAATCGCCGCCCAAATCGAAAACGCCAAAAACATCACCCAAGCCGGGCAAGCAGGCTAGTCCCAAGGCCAGCCAACAGCAAAGCCCCAAACAGCGCAAAGTGAAGCGTTCCGCGGGCGATGATTAAAGACTGCAACCCAAGTACCCAATACAACCAACTCACACACCCCCCTCTTCACACACACACACACACACACACACACACCAACCAACCAACATATACATCCATAAAATAACATCAATCGTACGTGTCGCAGTCGTAATATTATAAATAATTAATAATACGTGTTTTTTTTTATATTGAAAATATAGAGATTTTTAGTGGTTAACTGACAGAAATTGTGACAGCTGTGGCTTGTGCTGTTCATTTATTTTTTTAAAGTTAGTCTCTTTAAACAACTGTAAACATATTTGGCCAATTGGTTGTTTCTTATATCAATTCCGGGTTTAATTCTTTTTTACCTTTCGACCTAAACTGCCACTGCACATTAATATATACATATAATAATATATATATATATATTATATTCCCAAAACAGAGATCAGAAATGGGCCCGCTTTCATGGCGCGCCGCATAATTCTCTTCGTTTGATGAAGAGTTCTCGGCGCGAACAAATAATAAAAAATGAAAAACCTTCCAATTGTACGATAAATGAAATTAGCATTATTATTTTCGTACGCAAAAATATTGTATATTTCTTAATACTGGTATCATTAGCTAAACAGACGGAAAGAGAAAGGACGGTAAAAAGTTCGTGAACATAATAAAGTGAAAAAAAAAGAGACAAATGAATCAAATATAATAAATAACGGACAAAATGTGAAAAGTAAACAATTAAAGTACTGTGTTTTTTTAATTTACAGGAATTTGCAGAAAAAATACCAATTTGACATTGGCTCGCATCGCTTTATTTTTTTTGTATAATAAAATAATATATATATATATAATATAGCTTACAGGCCTATAGAAAAGTAATCTTGGACTTGTCGAAGAAATAAACAATCACTTGTAGGAATATATTATTTTTATGTAAAATGCAAAAACAATTGTTCATTTAGCAAGCACAAATGTTAAGTGCTTTGGTAAGGAATTTCAATACCTTGGATTCATAAATATCTTGATTTTAGGTTTTATTATTGCTTAATTCAACAATTTTAATATACCAAGCACACACACTGATCAGTCAGTTTATAGACATACTATACCGTAACCCTTATATCTCAATTTTTTGTGTACCAAAAAAGCGATCAACCAAGAGGGAGGAGGAGGGGGGTAGGATTTTCCCCTCCTCCCTCTCGGAGCATCACGCAGCGTTGTGTTATGTGTGTTTTTTTTTTCGTGTTTTGGCTGTTTTTATATCTTTTTTGGTTTTTTCTTGTTTGTTTATTGGTGATTTTTTCTTCGACATATTTTTTATAACCATTTTTTGTTTTGTATAAGTTAACCATTTCACACACAGTTTTTTTTTTTTGTTGATATTTCAATCTCTTGTAATATATCTTTCATTCTTGTCGTTTTTCTTTTATATAACGTATTTTTGCATATCATCTTTTTCTCTATGTTGGTCTTTTGTACAACAAATCATATATCTTCGTATTAAAGAGAGAAGAGCGTTGCTGATTTTTGTGCGCGCTCAGCGAGCGTGAGAATTGTTTATAAAGAAGGAGGTAGGTAGGTAAGGGGTCACAGCCCCCCCACCACAACACCAACAACCTAACCCAACCACAATTTGTCAACACAGTCGGGGATGTGATCAACCCTTTATGCTGCGAGATGCTCGACCGCCCGAATAAGCTGCTTTGGTAAGCTCTATATAAACCAACAGCATGCCGAATAACAAGTTGGGAATTATAAGCGCTTTGATAAAATGCGAGTGCTAAAACACCATACTTTTGTAGCTTGCTCTGTGGATGACGTAGTCGGTGACGACACATTCCCAATGAGCACAACCAGTTTTCGCGCTCATTGAGAGCGTGCACACAAACTGGGTGTTTGCAATGTATGCAATTAATATGTATGTATGCATTTCTGATATGTACATATATACATATGTATGTAACGGATTTCTGCAAGTTTTGTCGAATAACTAAATCATATACAAAGCTGTCAAAGCAACTATGTCCAGTATAATACTGTTGATATTTAAAATATTGCAATGGATAATTGAGTCTTGTTTTGAATTGTTAGCCTTAGCTCGCCAAGAAGTTTGATAAGTCCCAAGTGCCAATCGGTTGAGCGTGAGCACAGTAATCAGTTTACTGATGGGCTGTGGGGGCGGGGCGGGGCAGGCTGCAGTGTACGTAGTGTTGGGAAAACCAGATAACTGGCTATTGTATGTGCGGAAACTTTCGCTGAAAGTACGACGACGACGATGAACTGTAGAAACAGTAACAAACGGTCAGTCGGCGAATTGAGTGGGTTGTTGTGGTAGCATTGTGGCGACAACGTATTCATCGTTATGGATCAGCAACAGCAACAGCAACGGGATTCATCGTATTCGAATTACGAGGCTTTCCGCAATTCAGGGCAACCAGGTGGCTCCACTGTCCATATTGTCGATGTAGCAGCCGGCCAGCAGAGACCGGCAAATTTTGTGCAGCCCGATGAAGGTCGTTCTGGCGAACCACAATATCGCGGTCTCAAGACATGTGAGTAGCAATAATGTTTGTCAATTGCCTAATTTTTTGTAAAACGCAATAAGATTAGATAAGCAAAGTGATTTTATTATAGTTCCGTTCCGGCAAACTCAGCTATATTTACATATATATATATGTATATATATAATTTTTTTCTCTTCGCGTAGATAAAGCGATCAACATCTTATCAATGATGTTGATAACACGTGGCTAGGAATCTACTTATTTAAATACATTATAAATGAATGAATTTCTCGTAAGTTTTCGAAATCTCTTCAATTTAGAAAGCCATCGTGAAAACTAAAAAGTTTTCGCTTGTTATTGGTTAAAATTTTCAGATATGCGAAAAATATATTCTACAAATAAGAAAGGCTTCCTTTTATTTTTCTAAAATATATTTCTTAATAAGAGCATTTATTTTTTAAAAAGTTCGAAATGCAAACACTTATTTTAAAAAAAAATCTTGTTTTGAAATTTGTTCTATGTTGTAGTGCATCCCTCAGTGGGAAGCAGTCACTCAACTCCCAAACGATGGGTCACCGGTTCAAATCTCCGTGAAATCGTACGTTTTTTCTGCAAATTAGTTGCACGTATTTATAATTTTTGAATTTTTCTAAAATATTTGTATAGCTGAAATTCAAAAATCTTAAAATCGAATGTACATTAATAATATAAGCAACGAAAAAAAATCAGAATGCTATATATACAGTGTCTCGCAGCTTATTTCGGCAGTATCTAGCAAAAATTTTAAAGTGCTATAAAGTTTAAACAAAAAAACAAACGCAAAATGTTTAAATGTCAATTTGTTTTATGTTATATCACGTTTGAAAAGGAAACTTCAGTTTTCATTAAAATATTAATTAATTAACTAAAATTAGTCAAAAACTGAAAACTTATCCAAAATACAGGTCAAAGCTTATTTCAACAGTCTAGAGAAAAGTAACATATTTGGCGTATAAAAACTTAAATAAGGATGTTAATACTTAGTATGATATCCTTTAGCCTTAATAACTCCCCTTAACCTATTGTTCATGGAAGATACCAGCTTCCGGGTCGTTTCTGGACTGATTTTGCTCCACTCATCCAGCAGAGCATTTTTGAGATCGGATCTGTGATTCCTGATGTTATTTTCCAGCAGAGCCCACAAATTTTGAATAACATTTAAATCTGGAGACTGGGCCTGTGGAATTATCGTGTGGGGGCAGTTCCAGATATGCCAGGAGTGTACTAATCCGGACTTATGCTTGGCTTTTGTCCTGGTCGTTGTCGTGGTAGCACCGGAAATTACGTCGGATTCCTAGCTTCTTGGCACTTTGGAGTAAATTTTCCTTGAATATATTGAAATACACACTCTTGTCCATTGTTGTTTCAAAAAACACCAAATTCCCGACGCCGGCTGCCGAGATACATGCCCATACCATGACACTTCCTCCGCCGTGCTTGACTGTTGCCTTTAGGATTTTGGGACTCAGCTCAGTATTGGACTGTCGCCACACATAATTTCATCCGTCTGAGCCAAAAATGTTGAATTTGGGCTCATCTTCAAATATGAATTTGTTCCAGAACAACAAATCCTTGTCCAAGTGGGTTTTGACGAATGCCATCCTAGTCCCTTTATTTTTGGCGCTTATAAAGGGCTTATTCCGTGGTACTTGGGCATTAAAGTCATGGTTGCGCAGAACCCGGCGCACAGATTCCACACTGCACTTTTGCCCCATTTCGTCCTCCATCTGTGGAGTCAGTTTTGGAGCCGATAGCTTGGCATTTTCCCTTATTTTCCTGATGATCCTCCGCTCCTCCTGTTCGGTGAAAATCTTGTTTGGTGCATTTCTGACCTTGTCCTGTATCCGATTTTCGTCGACGAAGTGCCGAATGATATTGAATACAGTTGTGGTGCTTAGATTTACCATTTTAGCTATTTGGCGATATGAATATCCAATCCTGAAGTGTTCCAGGATCAGTTTCCGTTGTTCAATGGTAGTCCGCTTGCCCATAGTCTTTGTTGGCTGGTTGCACTCGAGATGCAGGATATAACTAATCTGACTACGAAGGATTGGTCTATTTATACCGAAAATAATCAACATTACGTAAAAAATCCGGGTTTTATGGCACCCAGGTGTCCATAATGTCACTGTTGAAAATAAGCTGTGACCATAAATTAAGGTACTTTTTTACATAACCCGGCCCAGCCGGCGGGAAAACCCCAGTTTATGGGGGTCATATAGTCATTATGGTGGTTAATATATGTACCTGCCATAGGTCTTTGGAATTTTTGAAAAATATTGTATTATTAGTTTATGGCAGGCAATTAAAATTTTTGCTAGACACTGCCGAAATAAGCTGCGAGACACTGTATATTGCTATATGTAGTAATACACAAAGTAGAAATATATTTTCTGAGTTACATTTGGGATTTTTTTTTTTAATTCAATGGGATTTTGTTTCTGTGCGGAGTTGAGAGCAGTGGCATGTGACGAGAATTACAGATAGCACTGATGTCATCCATATTTGCTAGCTATGAGTCAAGCACATCATTATCCATAACAAAACAACTATATATATATATGTATGCATTTAGTCAACAAGCTTTTGTTCTGTTTGCTGATTGCAGCGGAAAGCAAGCCGCTCGGTTGCATGGAATGGCTGGTCACGGTGCTGTCGGTGCTGGTGTTTATAGTCACCAGTCCCATATCCATATTCATATGCTTCAAGGTTGTGGCCGAATATGAGCGAGCCGTTATTTTTCGGCTGGGACGGTTGAGTGGCGGCGCTCGGGGACCGGGAATGTTCTTCATATTGCCCTGCATCGATGAGTATCGCAAGGTGGATTTGCGTACGGTGACATTCAATGTGCCCCAACAGGAGATGCTTACCAAGGATGCTGTGACGGTGACTGTCGATGCGGTTGTCTATTATCGCATCAGTAATCCCCTATACGCAATTGTCCGCGTGGAGGACTACAGCACATCGACACGTCTGCTCGCTGCCACCACGTTGCGCAACATTGTCGGCACACGCAATCTCTCCGAGCTGCTGACCGAACGCGAAATGTTGGCCCACAATATGCAGGCGACCCTGGACGATGCCACAGAGCCCTGGGGCGTTATGGTTGAACGTGTGGAAATGTAAGCATCAATGCATCAATCCAATAACAGATTGTATGTGAATTATGTACATAAATACAAATGTCCGTCTCTCTGTCCCTTCGTCCATCCGTCTCAGCTAGACTATTCAAATGTGGAATGTTAGCTTTCGTATGCAAAGTTGATTTAATTATTTTACTAATATCGATAAAAATCGATTGGCGATAGGAATGCTGGTACGCATATGCCTCACTGTTTAGGTCTCTCTCACGACTAGAACACTCTAATTGAACTAATTCTAATAATTATTGAATTCGAATTCTAATTGATGCATTGCAGCAAGGATGTATCGCTGCCCATATCCATGCAACGTGCCATGGCCGCTGAAGCGGAAGCGGCTCGTGATGCCCGCGCCAAGGTGATCGCTGCCGAAGGTGAAAAGAAGTCGGCAGCAGCCCTAAAGGATGCTTCAGATGTGATATCCTCTAGTCCATCTGCCCTACAGGTGGGTCGCTCACAATTCTCTAATTTCAAATATGGCTGACATCAATTTCAATGTGCTTCTTTTATATGTAGTTGCGTTATCTGCAAACGCTGAGCAGCATATCAGCGGAGAAGAACTCAACCATTGTGTTCCCCTTGCCCATGGAGCTGTTAACACCGTATTTGGCCAATTATATGCCAAGGATGCAGCTGCCACCGAAGCCACAGTTGCCTACAATTCCATCGACAGATGAATAAGGCCGATATCGATATGAACAACAAACAATCCCCTAAATATTATTTTGTTTATGTATTTTATATATTCATATACTTCCAGTACCAGAATGCCTATTATCCCCGCTGCGGCTTGCAGTTATTGTTATTTGTATTTGTACATTATATATCCTTATATATATATGTACAATAATAAATATATATATTTTTTAAAGAAACTGTTTTTTATTTCTGTCAGTCTGGCTTGAGATTTGAGACTTCATTTTTTAATAATTACAAATTGCTTGGCTTTTAAATATAGGAGCAAAACTTAGAAATGAGGAGAAACAGAGGCGACAACAGAGCTGGTCAGAGGGGTCAGGACTCCGACTAGCCAGATGTCTCCTAGGTATTTATAATCTTAGACGATTTTAGCAAGTTATAAACATGGGAAAGAACAGTCTTAGGATACTTGCCGGTCTATTGATAGGACACTGCAGGTAGACTAAGAAGTCACCTAACTAAACTAGTAGCGAACTGTGCAGGTTTTGTGAAGTAGAGGAGGAATCCTCGATGCACATCCTAGCAGAATGTGCCGCCTTAACTAGAAGAAGCTGCAGCGTCCTAGGGATGCAGGTTATGAATTTCAGAGAAATATTCACATTCGTGCGGGAGTTAGGACTGATGGAAGAGCTATCTTCTCAGAAGGGGGCACAATATATCGTTGTAGGTCACGGTGCAATCCCCCATAATAATTAATTAAGAGGGAATCTGAGAGGGAAGACTCAAACTCAATATTTGATTCAGTAGGATCTGGGCTTAAGCAGGTTGCAGCTTTGGTTTAAATTTGATTAATCAAACAAACAAAAGCCCATTATTATATTTACATTATTGTTAGTCCTTCAGAGTATTGTTTTTTGACCAGCTAAACTGTTTGATTTGTATATCAGATAAGTAAGTAGTACTACTAAGCCCTTGCCATTAAAATCAAATGAAGTCATTGCTATTAAACACTAAATGTCACTGATAATAAGCTATGACAATTGTGCTAATTGCGATACCATTAATCAATACACAGTAATCAGTATTTAGTTAGCTAAATGGGAATAGTTTGAAAAATAAAACGTCACTTGTATTGCGGATAGTCAGGGATGGGTCAGGATTGAAAACAACAAATGGGGTTAGACAAGAATCGTGGAAAACAATTTGATTTCATATTAATAACCACTTCCGATTGTGCAGCCAGGTGTTTGTGTCCTAACTGGATGTACGATATTTGGAAACAATAATCAAATCACAAATGCATATAATTCGTTTGGGTGGCGACCCGTCGCGTGACGGCAACCAGGTTGGCGTCTACCAATATAAATAGGCGGCGCTACATGGGGCAGCTTAACATTTGCAGCATGTGGCCGCGTTGGACGTGTGTGCTGTTGCTGGTTGGATGCCTCCTCAGCCAAGGGACTGCGATGCTGTCGCCCCACAATGGGGACGGGCCCCAGCAGTGTGTGAGCCGACGTTTGATCGAGCGCCATCGCCTGAACCAAAAACTTTATGGCAATTGTGATGGGAGGCGGCTCAGGCGTCGTGTGGATCCCACATTTCATGGCAATCCCAAGTCACGCGCCGAGCTATTGGCCAATAAATTTTTACATTCATACAATTTCGGCCAGGCGAACTCGCTGGTTACGCTGGTCAACAAAATAGCCGAGGATTATTTGGCCAAATGTCCACCGGTCATCTACTATGATAGCAATGTGGCCGAGTCAAAGGGTCAGATATTGGAAACGCTCTTCAAGGTGAGCACTCAAGTCGTATATATATATATATTTATTTATTGAATATTTTATGTGCAGACCATTCCGATTACATTCTACCATGGCGAAATCAATGAGCGCTACGAGCCAGTGAATCGCAACTTGAACTTGCACATCGATTCCAACTGCAAGAGCTATATTCTATTTCTATCCGATCCCTTGAGGGCCCGCCACATCCTGGGACCACAGACAGAGAGTCGCGTCGTTTTGATATCCACGTCGACGCAGTGGAAACTGCTTGACTTTCTCAGCTCGGAGTTGTCGTCGGATATTGTGAATCTCCTGGTTATAGGCGAATCTTTGATGACCAGTCCAGAGCGGGTGAGTGCAAAGATGAAATACAAATCCTTTCAATTATATTGTACGGGATATCAGTCGGTTCTCCAAATTAAATATATATATGGATTGAGAACATGATAGTAGAAGCCAACGGGGGGTATTTCTTATACGATCTTTGATATAATTTGTACAGTTGGCTAATAATATATCAATAAATAAATCAATATTGGCATTATAAGAAATAAGATTGATCTGCGAGTGGTATCCGACAAGTTATATTCCAAAAAAACGAAGATCCCAATTTTAATGGGTATACAAATACAACTTATAAATAAAATAGCTCTGATGGGGCTCGGTTAGAATTGAGAATTAGCAAGTAAAGGGTATGCTCTCTTCGAGCTGTTTGATTGAAGCAACTGTTGTTTCTTGTTGGATTCATAACATTTGTCGCTGCATTTGTTCTTCGATTTGTTGCAGGAGCGCCCTTATGTGCTATACACACACAACCTGTATGCGGATGGCTTGGGCTCGAATAACGGTTTGGTGCTGACCAGCTGGATTCGGGGAGCACTGTCGCGGCCACACATCAATCTGTTTCCGGCCAAGTTTCACAGCGGTTTTGCCGGCCATCGTTTTCAGGTATCGGCCGCCAATCAGCCGCCATACATCTTTCGCATCAGATCGCTGGACTCATCGGGCATGGGCCAGTTGCGTTGGGATGGCATCGAGCTGCGTCTGTTGCAGATGATAGCGAAACGTTTAAATTTCACGGTGGATGTCACAGAGACGCCCAATGCGCCGTTGAGCGCCAGTGTCGTTGATAACGTTCAATCGCAGATTATCCAGGGTGTCATCGACATTGGCATGTCGGGCATTTATATTACGGAGGAGCGAATGCTCGAGACGGACATGTCTGTGGGTCATTCGCGTGATTGTGCCGCATTCATAACACTCGCATCGAAGGCACTGCCAAAATATCGAGCCATAATGGGCCCATTCCAGTGGCCCGTTTGGGTGGCATTGATATGCGTTTATCTTGGCGGCATATTTCCCATTGTGTTCACCGATCGCCTCACACTCAGCCATCTGTTGGGCAATTGGGGCGAGATTGAGAACATGTTCTGGTATGTCTTTGGCATGTTCACCAATGCCTTCACATTCAGTGGCAAATACTCGTGGGGCAACACCGAGAAGAACTCGACGCGTGTCCTAATTGGCGCCTATTGGCTCTTCACCATTATTATAACGTCCTGCTACACGGGCTCCATCATTGCGTTTGTCACACTGCCCGCCTTTCCCGACACCGTCGACTCCATAACGGACTTGCTTGGCCTCTTCTTTCGCGTCTGCACTCTGGGTATGTTTTTTGGATTGGAAATCGAGCATAATGTGAGCCAACTTGTGCTTTGCAGATAATGGTGGCTGGGAGAGATGGTTCCAAAACTCCACGCATGAGCCAACGTCCAAGCTGTACAATAAAATGGAGTTTGTCGGCAGCCTGGAGGAGGGCATTGGCAATGTGACGCAGAGTTTTTTCTGGAACTATGCATTTCTCGGCTCCAAGGCACGTCTCGAATATCTGGTGCAGTCCAACTATTCAAATGAGTAAGTAAGCAAATCATCATAATACCAAGAATAAGAATAATAATATTCACCTTGGTTTGGCTGATCGTTGCAGAAACTTATCGAGACGCTCTGCACTGCATCTGAGCGAAGAATGCTTTGCTCTGTTTCAAATTGGGTTCATGTTTCCGCGCAATTCGGTGTATAAGCGTAAGATCGATGCGATGATTATGATTGCACAGGAGAGCGGTCTGCTGATTAAACTTGGCCACGAGGTCAGCTGGACCATGCAGCGTTCGTCGACGGGGCGTCTGTTGCAGGCCAGCGCCAGTTCATCGTTGCGGGATATCATACAGGAGGAGCGCCAATTGACCACCGCCGACACGGAGGGCATGTTTCTCCTGATGGGCATTGGTTATTTGATGGGTGCCGTGGCGCTCGTCTCGGAAATTGTTGGCGGCATCACAAACAAGTGTCGTCAAATTATAAAACGTTCACGCAAATCGGCCGCCAGCAACTGGTCATCCGGACAAAATTCGGGCGTGGAGCGCACCCTGGTCGAGCAGGAGGCGCACGATGTACGTAAACTGGCACGTCGTCATGCTGCCGAGGATGCCAATCAGCGTATGGGATTCGGCATGAGGGAATTTAATCTGACACGGACCACGCTACGCGAATTATACAACTCGAATCGTGGCGAAATGCAATCGGATCCTGAGCTAGACTTGAACATGCCCATGGCGGATGCATTGGAACAAATACCACTGCACGAGGTCGTTGCCACACTAGATGGCCTAGATGAGTTTATTGCCCGCATGGAGCTGGTCGACGAGCAGGGCAGCCTGGCATCTGACGATGATGCCGCCATCAGTGGCGTCTTTGGCCCTGAAACTGAATCTGAACGAGACACGAATCACATATAAACTAAGTCAAGCAAATCACACGTTCCCAACAAGATCAACAGTTAGCAAGTTAACAATTTTTTTCTTTCGCAAGAGATTCAACATTAAATAAAGAACGCACAAATTGTATCATTTTCATGAGATTTGTTTTTACATATGTATATTTTCGTGCAGTTTGCTGGCTTACAATTTAGGATTATGCACTTGTTGTTGCTTCGCATCCGGTTCATTCAACGAAACTCGATAGAGTGCTACTTAATGTCTCTGAACTAAAATACACAAAAAAAAAAGAGAGAGAAAAAAGAGGTCCTGTGGGCCTCTCTTCTAAAGTAAGACAGAAACAATAATACTAATTGGAGATTTCGTACAAAAAAATTAGAACTAAGCCTTATAAATGTACATATTACAGAGGCCTATAGACTGAATGCGAATGTTTGCGAGAAAGAGACAAAGTCACATGAGAATGACCGAGATGGATAGAGAGAGAGAGAGAGAGAGAGCGACAGAGAGTGCACTTGGCATATTTAGACGCCTCGATTGGGCAGGTCCTTAACCTTGTAGATGCGCACCAGCCAATGCTCGGTGGTATACGCCTCCTCGAGCACATCCAGCTCGAAGTCCTTGTTGCCAATCTCAGAAGCACGGACACGATCATAGCCCTGCGCCTTGCCACCCTCCGTATACATTTGTCCAAAGCGATAATAGCACATCTTGTACATAAGGCAATTGAGCAGCGTGGGCGAACCCTCCTTGTCCACACGAAACTCGCCATTTGCCGCATAGTAGTCCTTCTCCTTGATGTGGGCACCGCGATCGGTGCTGCCACCAATGCGCACCATCCACAGGAACTTGTTGATATCGTCCGATGAGTAGCCCGTCAATCCACCAAATATAACCAGTACATAGTCCACGTCCAGTTCACGCATTATTTCGTATGCCTTCTCCTCGGATGAGGCCATTGCCTGGCCAACGCGCGAGATGTGCGTATTGTTCCACGTGTTGTTGTCCACGAGTATCGTCCGATTGGCCATTGCTGTTATTTGATAGCCATAATCCCACCAGGACATGATGCGTGCATTCTACAACGACAAGAATAAAATAAAATTAGCTTTGAGCAACGATTTGTAGAACGTCTTCTTTGCACTCGTTGCTGAGGCACATTCAGTAATATTTTGTTAGTACTCATTATGTTTCATACTCTTCCTATCAAGAATATACAAATTGTATTCATCACCAGTGCGAAACTAAGACACAATGATAGTTCCATCTCACTCATACTCATTCTCCTGCTTGCAACAACAACAACTCACCTCGGGCGTATTCATTTGCAACCAGTAGTAGGCCTCGCGAAAATCGTCAAAGATGATCCGACCACCGTCGTGGGAACGGGCGCTGAGCACAATGCTCGGCGAGGAGTATGCCTCGGATGTTACCCACGTACAGTGGAATGTGTAAACGATTAGCATTAGTGTAATGATGGACACAAAACCAATAGCCACTTCACTCTTGACCCCACCACTCTGCTGCTCCAATTTCTTATGCTGGCGTTTACTCTCCGTCGCTGCCTTCGAGCTGCTTGTGTCCACGCACTTGATGTACTTGGCCAGCAGATGCGATATGGCTATGCCAGAGAGAACGCACATAACTGGCGCCAGCACAAGCATTAGTCGCACCATAACACCAGCAAAGTAAATACTTGTCACGCCGTACAAAATAATGAAGATATTCGAATCCGTCAGGCGCGAGAAGCAACAGTAGAGCCCGGCGGGAAATAGAAAGACAAGAATCTGAAATAGCACAAAAAGGCAAGGAAAAATCGAATTAGTACATCGCTTAAAAGCCGATTCGATGTAAATGGAATTGATTCAGCGATCAAAGTGCTTGTAATCAATGGCTGCTTTAAGGTGCAAGTCATTCGCATCGTGTTTGTTTTGTCATCACTCAAGTGGAAGGCAGAAACATTTCAATTAAACACAATTACATAAAATGCATTACCTGCAGATCAAAGTAGAATGATGACCATGATGTGGGCTGATGCTCCGACACAGAGGCAATGATTGGTATATGATTCTTGGCATAGGATGGATCGAGCAGCGAATAGAACCGACCCGTCCAAGGTGATACCTTGCCGGTTAATGTTAATAGCGTGCCCACAATCAACACCAGGCTGACCACACTCGACACCAGTGTCTTGAAGAGCAGATCAAAGTGATCCTTGGGCATGCGCGAGCGTAGATAGTCCACGAATGCATGTATCTGACAGAGACCAAAAACGCCGAGTGCCTTTCAAAAATAAAAAGAAAATAAGATGCCGATGAGACACTAAACTGATATATTCACGATGTGCATAAAAATGTGATCTAAAGATTGCGAATCAGTTAATTTTATAGTACTCATTATGTGTCATACTCTTCCTATCAAGAATTACAAAGGTAATCATCATTAAGCAAAACCACATTAAATTTATAATAAACAAAATACATAAAATAACTCACCAGCATATGCTCCGAGCTTTGAATGGGCTGAAAGCCGACAAACGATATCTGCATGGAGAGTATGGTGCCGACACAGTAAAGTGTGCTATATGCGATATAAATACGATGCGAGAAGCGGCCAGTGATCATCAGCGCCAGCACGTGCAGTGGTATCAAATTGATAAGGAAGACATAACCGCCCCACGAGGACACCATGTAGAAATAGGCGAGTGCCGACATTGCTGACCAGAATATGGTGCCTGTCTTGACTGCCTTTATCCACAGATAGTAGGTGAAGAGCATGCAGAATATGGCGATGCCTTCGTTGTCATAGGAACCAGCCACCGATCGCGATATATAGCCTGGCACGATGGATATAAGAGCTGCTGCGACCAAACCGGCGCCAGTACTCTGTACACATCATTGGAGAGAAAGAAACAGAAATAAATTTAGGACCACGTGCACATTATCGTGTTTAACCTCAATTGATGCATACTCACATGAATCTCCTTGGTCAGCGCATAGGTGACGAGCGTGGTGAGGGAGGAAAAGAACGGCGCCAGAAATACGCAAACATTCCGAATATCAATGGTTACGTTCAGCATCCACATCAGCCTGTACAGTGCAGCCGAGGTGACCATCAATCCGGGGTAGATGGTACCGCCAATGATGCGACCAAGTGGATACCAGGCGCGATCATCGAACCAATTGTGAAATTTATAAAAGCCCTGCTCGGCCAGGAATCGCGTGGTGCGATAGTTAAAATATGGATCGAACTCATGGATGACGCTTTCGAAACGCAGCACGGAAAACAGACGTGTGGCGAATGCTGCAAAAAGAAGTAAAATGAAGGCATTAAAGCTTGGTTGCTCCCAACACTTATCGAACGCATAAGAACTCTCTGCGATAGGATTCGATCTATCGATAATGTGTGAACTAGATCTAGATTTAGATCGATTTGGGTAACTATCGCTATTTACGCCCACGCACACACATACACAACAAATACATAAACATAGACTTCTGATACTGGTTGGCTGGTGTCCCCGCCCCCGGCTAATGAATTTTTATTATACCACGCAAAATACTCACAGAGTACAGCGGCCAGAATAAGTATCGCCAATTTGACGAGATGTTCTTGTTTTTCCCATGTTAGGAAACCTTTTGCCTTTGTCCCCGCACCGCCGCTCACGTTGCTGGTATCCACGGTCATAGCTGATATAATATTGGTTTGGGTATTGACTCTCTCCTGCTGTCCAGGAAATGCCGGTGCGGCTTTGGATGGACGTTGCTTAGTGGCTTGCCTGGACGAAAGTACACGCAATTCCACACACGGATTTCCACGTTGAGCACACAATAATTCGGCACATTACCTGCGCTCTTTTTCTTGCGCAAAATGAGATAAAAAACAAACGAAATGTACGAAAATAAATGCGGCGAAGCTTCGTGGCAGCCCAAAAGAAAATTTGCGAGACGCTCGTAGTATGCGGATTTTTATCGACAAGTTCACACCACTGCGATATCGATGAATGAGCAATTGCCGGCTGTGCCAGCCATGCAATAAAATTTGAATCGGCGCAATGCATATAAAAAAGTGGTTATTGGTATTGGATCTGTGAGTAGCAAGACAAATAACTTACACGTAGTTTCTAATAAAGCAAATGTGTACAAAATAGATTACATATGAACCAACCATTGAAAGTTAATGATTCAAAACTTAAAAATTATCATGTTTTTTTTCAATAAAACGCGTTTTTACAATCGATATGTCAAAGCACGCATACAATCAATAAGGTCACCGCTCACGATTTGGAATGGCTAACAGCAATCTTGTTTATCTTGGTCGCTGTCGTCACAGCTTTAAGTTTCGGCTTGCTTTCATTGTTAAACAATTATGCATTAACTGTTGTTTACTTTAATAAGAACAACCTGCAAAAAGCTGCATATGATATAAGTTTATATAAACCACAATTTTGTTGGAATTCTGTTTGAATTAAATTCATGTTTCGCGAATGCTATGAGCAAGGCTTACGCTGACAACTAGCTAGCTGTGACGTCACAGCCTCAGAGCTCTGTTGTACTCTCTCTCTCTCTCTCTCTCTGTCTCTGTCTCACTCGCTTCAGTGTTGACAACAATAGCGGACCTGCGCACTGAATATATCCAATTCATTAAATAGCTGTCGTCTTGTCGTCGCTGTTGTTGCTCTCGCGCGGAAGTTGTCGCTGCTCTGCCGACTTTTTGTTATTGTTTTTACTTTGAAGTGCTAGTATTTTTTTGAATAATTTGATTTTGGTTGAGCCCACGCGATTCCACTGGTAAATTGATTTATTCTCTTTCATTTACAATGAAAGTGCGTGTGTTTGTGTTTGTCTGTGTCTGTCTGTATGTGTGTGTGTGTGATATATAAACAATAGAAATTGGTTTTTACAATTGCCAAGCTTCATACTACGCACGTATGTATGTGTGTACACACAGAGACTCACACACACACATCAACTTAAAATGTCAAGCTGCGTGTACATAACCTAAGCGAAGGGCAGTCGCTGCAGCAGCAGCAGCAGCACTAGTAGTAATATTGTGTTTGTTACTCTTTTTTTTATTGTTATTTGTTATTACTTTAGTGCATATGAATGTGCTCGTGCGCTTGTGCGAGTGTATGTGTGTGTGCGTGTGCATGTGTATGTGATTTAAAGTTTATGCCGCGCTGAGTAAATTATAAATTAACAAATATTGTTGAAATACATATGTCAACTGTTATGCAGCGCTGGGACACCGCCTACAATTGAAGTTGGAGGCAGCAGTAACAATAATAAAATACCATTAACAGCAGTTACAACAACTACGGAAGCAACAACAACTGTTTAATCTGGTAAGTGGTGATAACAATAAGAAATCCGTGTGTGGTAAAAGTGGAGATAACACACAAACATGCACAAAATGCGTGCGTATGTATGTATGTGTGGGCATAAGGACTAACTGCTGGGCATGGTCAAAACCAAATTTATTACGATATATATTTATACATAAACACACATACATTTGCATGGAGTCATGCACATGCAGCTTATACAATTTGAAAGAATGGTGAAAAATCGAACATCAACGCATGGCTAGCCGGGTGGTGCGGTGCTGATGGTGGTGGTGGTGGTGGTGTTGCTGTAAGTTGCATGTTGTACACGCACATGCAAATAGAAAAAGTGCTATGTATGTTAATATGTGTGCCATAGAAAAAGCAGCAGTACTCCTCGACTCCTATCCCTTCCCTCTTTTTCACTCTCTCTCTCTCTCTCTCTCTCTCTCTCTCTCTCTCTCTCTCTCTCTCTCTCTACTCTCACACAGAGTGCAGCGATACTCGCGTGTGCCCCACGCGAGCCAATTGCATTTGTTGTGCAGGCAATTGATGTATCGTTGTTGTTGTTGTTCCTCGTCTTCTTCTTCTCTATATGTGTGTGTGTGTGTGCTCACGTAGTAACGCACCAGGGCTGCATGAAGCACATTCACAATGCAAAGTTTAAATGCAAATGATTAATGTGGGAGTTGCATAGTTGCAGTTGCATTATCGCAATCATGTCTGCTCTTCGAGATTATTTTTCTCAATTGTGTATTTAGAGTTTCGTGGAGTTGATTACAATATTCAAATTTACTCCTCCACACGCATACATATATATATAATATATGCGATATACAAATACATTTGCATGTTCTCCTCAACGTCTTATTGCCTTTATACTCGCGCTGCGTGGAGATCAGCTCAGATAGGAAATCTCGTTCAATATTCTTTGTTCCAATCCTCCATGACAGACATATAGACAAACATATATACAGTTGCGGTCAAGATGCTGAGCTGCTTCCCAAAGCATTTAAATAAATTATGACTCATTTTATGGTGATAAAATCGAGACGACTCTTAAAAGGCTTCAATTTGAAAAAAAATTAATTCTGCAAAACAAAAAATGTTTGCTTTCTCATCTGGCTATGTTTTAGCTATACTATTATTTGCCAAATACTAAACAAAGTAAAATATAACCACCCATCGTATCTAGTTTTTATAAAGTTATATTTAGCCGCAGAAAATGCTGAGATAACTTCACCATAATTCCAGTACCATTATGGGAAATTTAAATAATAATTTTTAATAAAAAAAATATATAAAATATATACAAAATTCATCTATTAAGGGACTTTTATATTGATTGTTAATAATAATGTTTGATAGCTGTTTTTTTTTTAAAATATATTTTAGGTATTATTTTTAACATTCTACAAAACATATGTGTGCATTACTATTATTTTAACCGCAGCTGTAATACATGTTTATATATATTTACACTTACTCACCGATATGCAATTAGAATTAGAAGCTTTGAATGAAAAGAAGAAGAAGAATAAGAGAAAGGTATTCGCATTTTGTTGCAAGGTGCGTGAGGCAAGAGGAAAGTGTCTTTCTCTCTCTCTCTCTCTAAGCTGAGCAGCTTGCCACATCCGCGTATCTATTTGTAGGCCATCTAATCGTTTTTTGGTGGATCGACTGTGACTGTGGCATATGCCATATATCATATACAATGTGGATACAAACGAACTATATGTTTATGATATAGATATGTATGTTTATTGTTTTGCTTGTAAACTTTTAATGGTTATTTCTTACAAATGTTTAATTTTGGACGATACAGCATTTTATAATAGTCGTTGTTGGCAACCATTCAAGCTGCTATATTTATATATATATGCCACAATTGAAGGTTGTCTCTGTGTTTGTATATGTATATGTGTCTATTTCTGTGTGTGGCCCCGCATAAATGCCACCAACACATAAAGCTTGGAGCTGAGCCATCAACTGTGTTTGTTTGCTGGCTGTTTTTAAGGCAAAAACAAAAAATGCGATGACTTCATCTGCTTTGACCATTTGCTTGTTTTCAGATCACACACACACACACATACAAACACTGTGTGTGTGTGTGTGTGTGTGTGTGTGTGTGTTGCACACCCCCATGCCAAGGAGGCGTTGGCGTTGCTTTTGTCATGTGTGTCATTTGGCGGCGCTTGGCTTAATCAACTAACCAACAAGAATAGCAACCACAAACATGGATGGAGAGTGTGTTTTTAGCTCTTGTGGCTTTTAGTGGCTCTTTGAAAATGGCCACAGACTTTGTCATACTTTGATTATTCAGCGCGTCCTCCTCTCTCTATCTGTATCTCTCTCTCTCTCTCTCTCGCTCTCTCTGTCTTTGTCTCTCTCTCTCTCTCTCTCTCTCTCTCCCCTCTCTCTCTCTCTCTCTCGTTGTCTAAGTCTTTCTCTGTCTCGTTTGCTCTTCTTTCTTTCCTAGGCATTTCTGTATTTCAATGCCGGAAATGTTTTTTTGTTTTTGGTTATTTGGCCAACTCTTTTCAATGGGCATTCCACCTTCTGCTGTCTTCTTTTCACTTATGTATTGACCACCATTATTTGGGTCAATCGTACAACCTGTTTGTTTTGGCCAACTTGTCTCTCTGTCTGTCTGCCTGTCTGCCTGTCTGTGTGACCCCCTGGTGTGTTGCCTTAGCCCGGCTTTTAACGAAACTTTGACCAGCGTTATGCACACATTATTACTCATACTCAGCTGAAACTTGTAATTGCAATTGGGTCACAAATGAGTTGTCAGATTTGGGTCCTTTGATCTAGGGAAAACAGCTTAAGCGTTCATCAAATCGAACTTCAAATTGATTTGAGTGTTTTGGGCCATATTCTACTAGCAGCTTTATTGATTTATCATACACATATTAAAAAGTATACACCAAATGCAACTTAACTTGTTGTTGTTTTCAGTCAATTAATCTGCGAGCTGCATTTGAGCTGAACATTTAACGAGCTTAATTGCTTTCAATCGATTTTCAATGATGGCCTGTCTAAGGGCGCCGTTCACTTTTTAATTTAATTGCAGCTGAAGTGCCTTGAGTGAACTACTATGCAGCGATGTGACCCAAAGCATAATAAGGCGATAGCAGCAGCAGCAGCAGAAGCCGTGGCAGCCGTGGCAGTGGCAGAGGCAACCAACGAGGGAGCAATAGCAACAGAAGAGCAACATCGAATCGAATCAAATAATAATCGATAATTAGCGAAGACAACAACCAACTGTAAAACCAATTTGCTGAAACTGAAACACACCAAACAACAAACAACAAACAAAATCAAACAAACAAACGCTGAGAGAGGGAGCAGACTGAGCAACGAACGAGCGACGACGTGGACAACAAAAAAACAAACAAACAGAGAAATAGAGAAACAAACAGAGAAATAGAGAAACAGAGGGACAAAGAAACGGGCAAAAGAATCGTTCAGACTAAAACGTGATTAACACACACAACACCATCAGACCACCATGCCCAGTACGGCAGGCAGTGCGGCTGGCGTCGGCGCACTGATCAACAGTGCCGGCAGCAGCGCCAGCATGGGCATCGGTGTTGATGGCGGCGGCATCGGCGTTGGCGGCGGCGGCGGTGCCAGCGTTAGCAGCGTGGCTGCTAGTGCCGGCAGCAGTGCTGTGGGCGCTGCCTCAGCTGGTACACTGATAGCACAGAGTACAGCGGGCACCAGTGCCGCCAGTGGCACCATCACGTGGGACAACAACGGCACACTGCGCTCCATCAATCCGGGCGACTGGTCGATTGAACAGTGCCTTATTTGGCAGCAGCCGCATCATCTCTACTTTCAGCTGGGCTGGGCCTTTCTCTTTCTGGCGTTTGTGGCGCCACACGGTCCGTTTGGGTCGCTATGGATGCGCGCCACACTGCTCATCGGCTGCATCATGATGGGCATGTACGGCTACCTGATTGAGTGCACTCCGGATGTGGTCCTCTGGTCGGGCCTTGGCATCGCCATCAACTTTGTCTATCTGATTGTGGTGCTCTGCCGGCTGCGTCCGGTGCGTTTTGATCAGGAAATTGAAGCGGTAAGTGGCAACTTTTTGTGTATATTCTTGCATACAATCAGGACATACGAGGGCAGTTTAAGCGGTCTGTGTATAAATGCATATATATATATTATTTTTTTGTATATATAAAACATGTTTTATTTACTTGCTGCTGGGTTTGAGAGTTTTTACCTTTAGACACATTTAGTTGAGACTTTTTATACCCTGAACACATTAGGTTAGGTTAGGTTAGGTTATATATATATATCGGTTAAGAAAGACCCAAGTTATTGTCGAAGATATATTATCATATTGACCTCATAAATATGCGAGCGCATGTGTGAGAAAGAGATGACATTCTGCAGACCCCCTTTACCCCGTTACGACTGCGTGTACGTATGTATGTATGCTAGGATCAGCTAGGATCAGTTCGGGCTTCTGAATAAAAACATGCGCTGCTCATTTTTTTTACTCTTCAATGCCTGGCCTGAGCTTGCTAAAAGAAATGGGTGCACTTGCACACCTGCTCACATTTGGGTGCAAAACTTATTATATGGAAATTTCGCCAATAGTTTTAGAGTTTATCTAACAGCTAGGTTCAGGGTAAGTCGTTGTCGTGCTCACTCAACTAAGGCACTCTTACTTGTTTCCACCTAGTTCATCTCACCAAAATAATTCCATTTATTCAGGATTTGGATACAGAAAGTAGCCTTATGGCAATATAAATCTTGTAAATATGCTGAATGGCCTAGCAGATTGTGGTCCTACTTATGAGTTTATATTTTTCACATGGTGTTTGACAGTAGTGTAGTAAAGGATGGCAGCTAACAGCAAAAGAGTTGCTTTAAAATCCACAAAATTATCAGACTGCCCTCGTATATATAAACGTTAGACAATTTGTGATTCTTGAAGATGGAAGAGTAACAGAATTAATAGCAATTCTGGCCAACTTCATTTATAGATTTGTTAATTTAATTTTGTTTTACCCAAATAAAAATTCAGTTTTTTTTTTTTTTTTGATACAATTTGTTTTGCATATATTTTGATTTGTTTGAATTTTTTTTTGTTGTTTTATTTTGTTTGTTTTGCTTTTATTTTCTTCTGTATATTTTCATTTTGTTTATGGTTTTGTTGCTGTGGCCCAATGCACAACATAGAAACAAATGGACATAACTCACTTAAACAAATAAATAATTTCGATAGTTTTTTCATTAGCAAAAAAAAGAAAAAAAAAGTTGTTAAATTACTAAACACTCCTAATTAACAATTGTGTGTAAATTACTGGCTACGCGGTTAAACTAAAATGCTTTGCGTATGATTTAGTGCGTGTGCAAGGTGGGTGGGGAGGGGGTGGGCTGATGGGCTGATGGGCATGGGCGGGTTGAGATTTATCACAGGTTTATTAAAACATTTTGAAAACGATTACATCAAATATTTTATGTAATTTCCGAGCCAATTTACTGTTCATTTAGTGTGTGTAACTTTTTCCAATTATTTTTCTATTTGGATTGCTTAAATTGGTTATTTTTAATGAGTGATAGATAGATATGTGTGCGTGTGTGTGCGGGTGTGTGTGTGTGGTGAGTGTGTTTGTTATAAATACATTGCCTATAAAAGCCGCGTAGTACTTTCTATTTTAATAATAAATTTGAGACAATCATTGACAGTCAAATACAATATCAACTTTTATGAGTAAGTCTGTGTATGTGTACGTGTGTAACAGTGTGCGTGTGTAACAGTGTGCGTGTGTGTGTGTGTGTGTGTTGGACTGGTGATGGTTTAATGGCTTAATTGCGCTACAAAATTTTTTTTAAATTATAAATTCTATTTGCATTAAATGGTTGAAAACCAAACAAAAAAAAACCTGACAGCCTTTCAGGCGCTGCACGAAAATGTGCTTTTTGGCCTGGGCTGCCAATGCGGTGGTTGGCGTCTTAGCTAATTCGTATTTTCAATGATAGAAAATATAATTGCAGACATGTGGCCAATAGTATAATCATATTGCCAATGGCAATGCTCATGTGTATGCGCCGGAATGCCTTATGTATGCGCTGATAGTGCGGACACTCGACCAAATCCCCTTGCAACAGGCTGCCAACCTCCTGGCCACTGCCGATGGCACCCTCGAGCCTGTACTTCTCATGCATGAGTTGAAGCATTGGCGGTGCCAGATATAAACGTATCACCACCTCAATGGCTGACGTCACTGATAGAGCGCCCAGTTGCACACCGGCCGACGTTGACCAGCCACTCAGGAAATATTTCACATAAATGATTAGCATGGTGATGCTCAGCATCGCATTTAGTGCAAAATATTTGGGGAACAATATCTGCTGGCACTGGCCAAAGGTGTGGCGGGGCAGCGAGAAATATAGCGAGAGGCCTGTAATACAAAAATAAAATATAAACAAATTCACCGATTATTATTAAGTTTGAGAGAGAGATAGAGATAGAAAGATTTAATGTGTAATGCCAACAATGCGAATGACATTGACTCAATTCAATGATTGATGTTGATGTTGATGTTGAGGCGAACGATAGTTGCAGCTGTAGCAGCAGCGATGATAGCAGCAGCGACGTTAACTGGCAGCGTTAGCAGCTGTTCGGTTGGTTGGAAACTTACCCGAGACAAAGGTCATCCAAATTTGAGAGCCAAAGTGTGTGGCGAATGCGCCTAAAAACGCCAGCGTTGCCAGCACGCTGCCACCCACTTTTGCGGAAGCTTTGCTCCGCATCTCTGTCCCTGTTGCTGTTGTTGCTGCAAATTGGCTGTCGTCCATTGTTGTCGTTGTCGTTGTGAGATCGGGTCCAACGGTCAGTAGCACAAAGGACAATATGAAAATGGCCATCAAATGCGCCGGCTGTGTGGTACTCGTCAGTATTCTGTAAGAGAGATAGAGAGAGTTATTGATCTGTAAGCTGGCTGTTAAATTTGTTATGTTAAATATGATGTGGATATGTTAAGGCTAATCTTGGTCTTTATCTGTAATTATCTGCTCTGGATTCGAAGTGCATGTTGGCATTAACACGTATGCCTTTCTTTCAGTTATCTGCTGATTAGATACGCTTTGAACTTTTGCGCTTGGCAACATTTACGAAACGCTGAGAAGTGCCGCCGTCTACGACAGCAGGCAACAACAGCAACGACACTTATCTAACATCGAGTAGTTTGCACTGAAGCTGAAGCTCGATAATTTTGTTTTGGTTGTGTTGTCTCGGTGTTGTTGCTTACGCATTTGCCGCGTTGCGTTGCGTTCGCTTTATTCGTTTTAATACCCCTTACTCATTCATATACAAAGGGGTATATTAAAGTGCTAGCAACAGGCAAGAGGCAAAAAAAAAATCATTTGAATTTATCTATTCTTTCACGGAATATATTTACAATGTAGAGTATCTTAAAGTCGCCAACAGCCGATCAGGGCAGACGGTTTTTTTTTGCAGACTTTTTGTGTTTTGCATATTGCCATAGATCATGTGGGGAAGTGACGTTTAACGTTGAGGCGTCGTCACTGCTAAGGTGTTGTTGCTGTAGCTCTTGACAGACATTGCGGCGAATTCAGTAAAATGTGGCGTACGTGCAAAAAAGCATGCAACCAAACACAAACACATATATATATATTTTTTCTATATATGCAGGTATTCGTGCAAATAATTGCAGCGACAATGGTCATTTAATGAAATACAACAGATTCGCAATCTGCTGCGGGGCACAAGCAGGTATATATGGGGAAAATGTGTGGGCAGCGAATTTGCAAGTCAGCTGTTTGTGATTGAACGATTGATCGAACAGCTGCTCTCCAAGGCGAAGCTGAAGCTGAAGCTGACAAGGCAATGCAGTCGCTGCGGAAAGCCAACTTCCCCCCAAAATCCAGAAAAAATGCTGACCGACCAGACTCACTCACACACTGAAACAGCCAGAGTGACGTTGAATGCGACTCGCACTTTGGACTCCTCTGTGTGTGTGTGTGTTTGTTGGGTGCGGAGGGAATTCTGTTGACACGCCAAAGTCACAACAGATACACATATAGATATACATAGATGATAACGGCTAAGGTTGGATCGCCTCGAACTTGTGAATGAATCAGAATTATTATTGTCGTTTTTACTTTCGGTCGATGCCCTTAGTTATTATTATTATTTATAAATGACTTGTGATAAAAATAGCATAGATAAAAGTATTTACTTTGGGGGGCTCACACGTCGCAAGGTGAATCATTTGATGACCCAAGCAAAGCATTTACCACGAGACTTTGTGATAATGTTTTATTCCAAAGCATAGAAAAAAAAGTGGTAATCGAATAGCTGTTTATCAGTCACAATTTTTGAAAAGACGTTAATTTCTTCGTGATCGAAATTTAATGAGAAATCAGAAATGAGAAATCAGATTGATATAAATGATAGCACATGATTTGGTAGCTGAAATTAGGAATGCTGTTCAGCCACTTAAGCTCCATTTAAAGCACGTGATTTGTGCTTGTGTGGAGTGCAAAGACTTTTTTTTTCTTCTTTTTCGTTTCTTGTTTGTATAACGGAACGGACGACAGACAGCGGAAATTTGTAGGTAAACGCAAAAAGAAACAGAAACGAAAACAATAAAAAATATATTCGCCTCAAAGTTCGTGAAATAATATTAGCGGAATCGTAATCTTTCGCCTTCGCGTGATTGACATGATCGAGCCCCATGTTAATTCGCAGTTGCAAGCGATAAGCAGGCGAGACAGCGAGACAGAAACACTTTTCGTAAATTATGCATTAACATTATTATCACATGATGAAACGGGCACAGCAAAGATTTAAAAAAGAGACTCACGTGTATAGGCGACTCCCTTGCAGCTGGACGATCAGGCAATGGCAGCGCTCAGTAAATTTGCGCGTCATTTGAGTGCCAATTGCGAGAGCATCGTCCATCGATGGCTCCATGGAGCTAAGTTTGCGCTGCTGCTGTGCTGTTAATGCAGCTGCTGTTGTTGCTGTTGGTGAAACTGTTGTGACGGGGCTGTTGTGCTCAGAGTTTACAGCCTCCAATTGTTGTTGTTGCTGTTGTTGCTGTTGCATTTTCTTAAAACGTCCACAGAATTTGGGAATTTTTAAAATGCTGATGTTGCTCTCAATGTTATTCTGACTGTTGACTGTTAATGAAGCTTCTGTTTTGTGCTCAACTTTTGCACCTGCTTCTACTTCTGCTTTCACTATCTCCGTCTTTGTCTCGGGTTTAGTTGCTGTATTTTGTTTTGCGGTTGGCAACTGCTGTTGCTGCACTGGCTTAATATCAAAATTAGTGCCGCAGTCGCTGCTGCTGTTGCTGCTGCTGCTGCTGTCTTCATTCTCGGAGTTGTTTTGTGATTGATCCTGCTGCTGCTGCTGCTTTTGTTGCTCCTTGCGCTGCTGCTTTTCACGCTTGCGCATCGTGTATTTTACCGATTTGACGGCTTTTTGTGGCAGACCGAAGGCCATATACCGTTCGATCTGTTCACTTTCGATGCCCGAATTATGGCACATTTTTGCATTTGTATTATATAACTGCTTAACGGTTCTTTATACTTCTTCTTTTGCACTGTTTCTGTTTCGGTTTTGCTTTTTGCAGTTGCTCGTTTTGGCTTGCACTCAAAAAAAAAAAGACAAAATTGCAATATATTTTTTTGTTGGGATTTTTCTTTTGGTGTCGTTTTGGTTAGTTAATTAGTAAATTTCTGCGTGCGAGCGGCTTAGAATTTGAGCGGATAGGATTGTTGGGGATTGTGTTGTGTTGGGTTGGGTTAGCTGCTGCTGCTGCTGCTTCTGCGGCTGCGACGTCTACGCGACGAGTTAATATGTGCGATTGAATGGCCAGCAAGTTGCGTCGTACGCTTTTATAAGGTACCTGCGCATATGTGTGCGCGTCGCGAGTTCTTGGATGTCGCAACGATCAGCAAATCAACGAGCACCGAACACCGAACTCTCTTCGGCTTCGACGAATACGCTCCCACGCACGCATTGTGCACTTGATCCACATTCGTATATTGCGGGCTGGGGGAGGGGGTTGTAAGCCCCCCCCCCCATTTTGTTAATCGTGCCAGTCCGCGATGTACAATTTGCTACTTAAACTGTATTAACAGGCAAGAAATGTATGCCACAAAGAAAGCGAAAGAGAGAGAAAGAGAGGAAGAGAGAGCGAGCAAGCTAACGAGAGAAAGCACCTGTTACATTTTGCGCTCTTAAATCGCAGACGAAGATCATGCAATTAAATGCTTCTTGTCACGCTGCGATCGTTAGTTGCGCACTTTTATGGCCAAGCCACCTCTGGACTGGACTGAACTGTCCGGTGGTCGGGGTGGAGGGGATGTGAACGTGCTGTCGGCGCGACCAAATGGACGCCGTTCTCGGGTTTCTATCGATAATGGACGCCACATGCGCATAGTTTCAGCCACAACGGAGGCGTGGTGGGGGATTCGTCGGGGGTCGGTAATACCTTACATAACTTACATACATATGCGTATATAAACACACATCAGACATTCCATTCTGACTATTTACATTGTTGCAGGTTTGTTGGCATTTACAGCACTTTCTTTCAATTGAATGCAACCGGCAAGAGGCATCTAGGAGAAAGTGACCGACTAGAATATTCTCTGTTTAAAAAAAAATCCCCTTAAAAATATCCCCGTTTCAATTGCCCAACAGCGGGTACTAAAAAGAAACCAAACTCTTTTCACGTCATCCGGACACACACCCAAAATTCCTACAACTCGGGGACTACGTTGATGAGTAAGTGTTCGATAGAGTGGATAGACACGGGAGCAAACCGTTAAGCGTCATCATTTTGCTATTTGAAACTCTAATTTATTTTCCTGCTGATCTCAAATTTGTTGTACGTTTTTAGTTAAATCAAATGCTGAACAATTTGAGAAGCAAACATTTTTTAAAAATATTATTTTTTAATTTTTAATTACTTGTTTGCTTCGATTGCATACTCCCAATATGGTTAATTGATTGTTCAAGTTGGGCTTAAGGAGTAATGAATAATGGTTAGTTAAAGGATTTTAGCATTACAATTTCTTAACTGATTTTCGTCTTTGGCTTTGTTCACTGTTTTGCTGCCACGAAGAACCCACGTGATTATCTATGGAACGTGATCCACATGCCAACGAGATATAAATCGAATATATTTGATCACGGATTGCTTTCTATATTTTTTATTATATATATATATATACATATAAATATAAATATATAAAATATATAAATCTACCCAAAAAACATATCTGATTTGCGCATCTTGTTGAGCGGTCGATAGCCGCATTAGGTTGCCACGCAAACATATTGAATTGTCGGCGGCATGGTGGCAACAAGGGGGGCAGGCAGCACAATCGACACTTTGATGAATGTCTGTCGGCCACCAAACTGCTCATTATCTAATTGCGGCAAGTTCCGTTCGAGCGCCGGACGTTGTCTCGATCGAATGCCGAATATCTAACAGCAACAACAACAATCAGTCAGTCAGTCAGTCAGTCAGTCAGTCAGTCAATCAGTTAGTCAGTCAGTCAGTGAGTATGATTTCCAAAAAGTCAGGAGCTGTTTAGCGACGCGTTTATAGCACAGAGGTGTAATTTTGCATACAAACGCGATATTACTGAACTGATATGGATTCTATATGATTGATTGTGTATGCATGCATACATATATAATATATAATATATATATATATTCTAAAACATTTGCGTTTCTTTTTCGGCGCCTCATTATCATCATCATTATCAATACTCATTTTGTTGTTGCATTTTTGCCCACTCATCGTGCGACGGGACATTTCCTTTTTTGGATTTGGGGAACCTTTAAAGCTTGCCTCGCACACTCGTACACCTCAACGGTGGTAGCCGGTACGGTACTCAGTGCTCGATGACCGGAGCCACACGAATCAGAACTAACAATAGTCAATTGGCCATGATTATTAAATTTAATCAAATTTTTTTGTGATTTTTTGTATTCTTTTTTTTTTTTTCGTTTTTGTTGTCTGACCTTTAAACAGCTAATCATTTTGTTTATTTTCGCAATCTACCTCTCTCGCTCTATCTCTCTCTCTCTCACACGCTCTTTTTCTCTCTGCGAACTAGATTTTTGATGGACAGAGGGGGGGTTGAAAGATTATAGTTTTTGCATATATCAACCATTGGACGAGTGCCGAATGTCACGTAAATCTGACTAAACGGATCAAAAGATATTTGAAGACCACGAAAAGAGAAATTCAAACTAAAAAGAAAAAATATTATATTAACTTCAAAATTGCCCAAAACTCCATTAGCTATTTCATATATTGTGCAAAATATATATGGAAACCCAATCAAATTTTGTCATAGAATTTCAAGCTTATTTTTGACGTCATATCGATTTTTTTATTTCTATTTATTTTTGGAAAAAGTTACCCTTTTACGGTAGCGTTCAAAGGCTAATCCTTCTATAGCTTAATTAGTCTGTTTCGTCTGAAAGTCTCTGACTCACTCAGCTACCATATCATTTCAATTGATATCGATAGCTAGTCATACATTATCTTTGTTTTTCTTGCAGACTGTCGAGGTGACTTTTAATTCTATTAATTTAAATTCAACATTGGACTAAAAAAGATAATAGAACAATAATAACTGTTTATTGTTCTGTTATTAGTCAATCGATTGTCAACTTATATATTCATCAATTTCACAGTTCATTCTTACGATTTCGTTTGTTAGCTGGATTGCATGGTTATAAACAAGTCAGCTGCCAAAAGAAAACAAGACTAATACAAACATATTCCCGCTCGCTTTGGCGTCATCAAATATTATAGGGATACTTCATTGAGCTTTCCCAAAGCACCTGACAGATAGAGACAGACACAGAGACAGAGACACGCACAGACAAACAAACAGACACCTTGCGTCAGCAGAGCAGCATCTTCGTCAGTCTCATCACATGTCTCACACTTTGTCCGTGGCATAGATCCAAATCATGTCGGCTGCTTCTTCTACCCTCTCCCGATAGCAAACGCCGCACGCTTTCGCTCAATCATTGTTAAGGGGCTCGGCGCGGTTGGGGGGCGTGATTTCTGGTGTTGGTATTTCACCACGTGATTTGCTAAAGCGCTGTGGGTCTAATATGGTCTATTGTGAACACTTGTTAACCATGAATCATATGGAAAATGGAAAAAATATGCCACTAATACAAGAGATAAGCAATCCAAAGTCTCTCTCTCTCTCTCTCTATCTATCTATCTCTCTCTCTATCTATCTATCTATCTCTCTCTCCCTTTCTTATCTACAAATTGGCCGTCTAATCATGACCGATGCTTGTGATCGATGTCGATCGTCTATCGGCTGATTGTGTTGCCAATTTGCTGGCGAAATTGATTTAATTTGACGAAATAACTACCATAAAATATTGAATATTGATCCACATAGCACATATCAAAGACACGCTTTGCGTAGAATTCAACAATGGCAATTATCAAACACGTAGACAGAATTTCCTCCATTGTTGACACCAGACTAGACTAGACTCGCAGCTCGGATTGAGAATGTAGCTTAACGATCAGATTTATGTGTACAAATAAATAATTAATTTCGAATTGAAATCGCTGATTATTGAATTGACATACTGAACAAGAGTATATATATATATGTGTGTATATATAGTTTTTAATGGCTTGCTGCGACAATGATGGCGTTATCAGTGTGTGGCGTGAAGTTGCAATAATCTTGTTGACGGTGTGCAAAACTCGTGGCAATGATTATTGCGACTGCGACAGCGACTACGACTGTTGCTGACTGGCGCTCTTAAGGCAAAGAGAGAGAGAGACAGAAAGAGAGAGAGAGATAGACAGAGAAAAGTAAAAAAAAAGCTTCTTCCTCTTTGTTTGCCAACAGTTTATCAATACAAAAGCAACAGGTTCAGTTCAATGGCTCTGGGCTCAGCTTAGCACTGATTTGGCTGTGGCTACTGTAATCGCTTCGAGTATTATGGACATATCTCTACATACTAATGAGTAACTGTATGTCTGTATGTCTGTGTGTGTGTGTATGATTGTACGTGTGTGTGTGTATGTTTGGCTTGGTGCGCAGAGACTTCAGGCAGGTCAGTTCAAATAAGTTCGACTGATTGCTGTAAATAAGAAATGCACATAAAAAACAGTTAAAGTTAAAGTAACTGTGTCTGTCTGTTGCTATGTTGCTATGCAAGTTAAATGCTATGGTTTCAAATTAACTGTCGGAATAGCATATAGCTGTCATTTGATCGATCGCAAAATCAGTTCGAGCTATAAATCTATGCTCTATTTTTATAGTTCCTATAGGAAATTGAGCATCTGCATCTCTGTTGCTGTCAAGAGATGATTTCTTCTATGATGGACTTTTCCATTCATTTTTTGTTTAATTCATAGCAGGTGGAGTCCGGTGCATAATCTAAGGCATTCTATCTACTTTTGTTGGTGTTGTTTTACAAATGGGCTTTGATTATATGCAATAAAAAATTGACCGCCAGAACGACGAGGCTTGGGAGAATGCGTAGACTTCGACGTCGCCGCAATTTGAGTCGGGTCAGGCCCCCGCCGCCCGCCCACCCACAGGCCACCCTTCTGGTCGGAGCTTGTGGCAGCTATCTCACGCCACGAGTGATTGGTGCCTGAAGGCAGCGATCGCTGGCGTACGTGACTTTAGCATCGGTGGCGATGTCCGCCGAAGCGAGAGCTGTTGCTGTTGCTGTTGCTGTTGCTCTCTGTTGCAAATTGTGCGCCACATGCGGCAGCAAAGCCGGTCAGCCACAACAACAACAACAACAACAACGGTAGCAAATAAACCTGCCCGGATTACAGTTTCGCCGTTGAGCTTAGCTTTTGATTATTATTATTTATTATTTATATATGTGCACATGTTTATATGCTTGTGTATTAATGTTGCTGTTGCTGTTGTTGCTGCTGTTGCTGTTGTTGCTGTTGTTGCTGTTGCTGTTGTTGCTGCTGTTGTTGCTGCTGTTGTTGCTGCTGTTGTTGCTGCTGTTGTTGCTTGGCAAAAAATACAAAAAGAGGAAACGCAAGAAGTGAATTACACGCGAAACGAATGTTGATCATTTTAAAAAGCTGAACATTGAATACACTCAAGCAACACACGATACCATTAAATATATAAATATAATATAAAATATATTCTTTTTCTTATAATGTGATCATTTTGAGAGATTTTGAGAGAATATCTATGCAAAACTAAGTTCAGTTTAGTTAGATGCACAAGATGGCTTAAAGCGTTCAATTAGTCAAATAATAAACAAAGCAGGCCCAAATTTTAGATGATGATGCCGAAGAAGTTTAGAGCTTTTCAACTATATTTGTCAGAAGCGTATTTGTGGCAGCTGCTTTGACAAGCTTAGTGCGATTAGCTTTCTGCTTTTGATATTTGCGACATGCTGTGTTTGTAGGAAAGATGTCCAATTTTTGGCAGAGCATTATAATCCGTTGCTATATCATGTCGCCGCAGATATAGGGTGTAACGTCTAGCGGCTGCGTCAGCAAAAAAAAAACCAAAAAAAAATAACGTTTAAATAAACAATTTGCTTGGCAACGAGTTACCAAAAGCCCGCAAATTGAATGCCATCTTACAATCGGCCATGTCGCTAACTGGCTAACTGGCTAGCTGGCTAGCTGGCTGACTATAGGCCATGTGATTACGTATTTATTTTTTTTGTATTTATTTATTTTTTTTTTTTGGCCCATTGAACATTTTGCCAGGCGCCGTCAGATCATCATCATTATTATTTTTATTGAGTATAGGCCCGGTGTCATAAGCATGATTGCTTGTTATTGAACCGAGTGATTAACAAGTGCAATTGCTTTCAGAACTCACAGCTTACTCTCACTTGCCCAAATATTTGCCCAGTCAAAACAAAAACAAAAACAAAAACAAAAACAAAAACAAAAAAATACATCAATAAACACTAAACAACTAAACAAGTTCAACTGCTGCAGTTGTCTTTAATCGTCCACTCGATGGAAGTATATCAGATCTCAAAGGGACCACTTTGTGTTTAATCTATTTGAGCATATTTGACAACAACTATTGATTGCTATAAATTGGCGATTTCATTTTGTATTGTGCACATCAGTTAAATTAAGTTCAACCCGGAGACAGCTAAATAAAGAAAGACATTTGCATTTCACTATAAATCGATCGATTGTTCCTAAAAAAAAAACCTATATCAAATGCTACTTTGATGTTGATAAATTTTTGTCTAAAAATTAAGATTGTTAGATGTTAAAAGAAATTGCTAAACAAAAATACTTTTTCAAAGAAGAATTGTTTGAAGATCTTTTAAATAAAATAGTTTTCCTGTGGTAATATTGGTAATATTTTCACACGAACAACTGAAGCATTAACTTCGCATAACTCGTTAAACAAATTGTCCATACAAGAATTTATTGGTCGATTGGTTATTCCTATAACATCGTATAGGAGATGGGATAGGAATAAGGATAAGTTGCAGCCAGATACCTTTAAACTAAGGACTATGGACTAGTTTGCATAGAAACAGACTCAGCTAGTGATGCTGATTAAGAATATATCTGGTTTGTGGGTTCGGTGTTACAAACTTGACGACAGAATTATGATATCTATATAAAAAGAGGATAGTTAACAGAGAAATCACGCTAATCATTTTGCTGTCAATAATACAGATCATATACCCTGCATCCCCATTTCAAATGGGAGAGATGTACATACATATATATATACCTATGACACATATTAATCACACCGACTTTGTTTCCATGCTCAATTTGTTCAATTTGCAAGCTTAATGTGTTTATTAAATTACTTTGTTGCAGGTGTATGTGGCATTGTTTCAGCCGCTGCGCGTGACCCGGCATCAGTTCAGGAAGGTGCTCAATTGTATGAAGGTGATTCGGGCACTCAAATACCAGGAGGTCTATGCGCAGGAGAAGGTCACCAAAGTGGACAGCCTGTCGCTGGTGCTGAGCGGCAAGTAAGTGGACGATGCAGCAACGATGCAACACAACAACAACAACAACAACTGATCGATACCAAATTGATGTTTGAAATTTGGAAAATGTTACTCATTGCAGATTAGTTGTATCGCAGCATCAGCGGGCACTGCACATTGTGTTTCCCCATCAGTTCCTAGATTCGCCAGAGTGGTTTGGCGTCTCGACCGATGATTTTTTTCAGGTAAGCGCCAAACATGTCCTGTGCTCTACAGTCAGCTATTAACAGCGTTTTTGTGTGTTTGTGTGTGTGTGTGTGTGTGTAGGTGTCCATTATGGCCATGGAGGAGTCACGTGTGCTCATCTGGCATCGGGACAAGCTCAAGCTTTCAATAATGGCCGAACCGTTCCTGCAAACGGTATTCGATCACATACTCGGCCGCGATGTGGTTAAAAAACTGATGCAGGTGACACAGGTGACAGCTGAAAAAAAATCAACAACAACAAAAAAAAAAAACACAAAAAATTAAATCTAATCATATTTATTAATATTTATATTGTTGTGCAGGTCAGCGAATCGATAGCCAGCAACGGTTTTCTGCCCTCGGGCGGCTATGCAGAGGATGCCGAGGACAAGCCCATGCTCATACTGAAGAAGAGCGTCGATGTTGGCCATGGACTGACGGCGCTCATCAATCGCCAGTTGCAGGGTGAGTTAACTAGCCCAACTAGCCAACTATTTATTTACCGATACATACATACATGCGTACATACATGCATACATACATAGATACATAGATACATAGATAGTTACATAGATGCTTAAGATCTAGAAACTCTTTTTGTTCACTGCAAACGCTGTGCGTCTTTCTCCTTATGCATATGTACATATAACGTCCTCTTGCCACACACCAGTCTCTCTCACTTTCTCTCACACTCTCTATTCCCCCCTCTCTCTCTCTCTCTCTCCCGCTCTCTCTTTCTCTCTCTCTCTCTCTCTGTGTGTGTGTGTCTCTCTGTCATACAAAAACTGTCTCGCTGTCTCTTAACGTGTCACTTGGCCCATATTTAAGAGCTGTCGTTCTTTGATTCCTTAACCATTAACCAAACATGCCCTGTGCCGCCTCAATGCTTTTGTTGCACGCTTGCGCTGGTCGCCATTTGGGCTTTGGGGCGCGCGCGCTTCTTGCATGCTACAAAACATCTAATTAAAAAAACAAAAAAGAGAAAAAAAAGATAAAATAATAATAATAATAATCTAACCTAAAAACCAGTATATGATTTGAATTGAATTCACTTTTTATTGTTTGTCTGTTTGTTTGTTTTGTTAATTTGCTGTTTGGTTTGCATTTTGTTATACGTTTTTTATTGATTTTATTTTTTTTTTTATTTTTATTATTGTTAACTGTACAAACGTTGATGTTTATGTTCGTTTTTTACGATTCGCTATCTAATTTTAGAAGAGCATGTTCCTTTACTTGGTCGCACGTACAAACACACTAAGCAGCAGCCGCCGCTGCCAGGTTTCGCCAACTTGGCGGACACCAATGTTGATCACTACGCCAATGCCGCTGCCGCCACCGCCGCCGCTGCTGCACTTGCTGCTGCTGCTGCTGTTAATGACGATGGCACTCAATGAACCTGAAACTGAAACTGAATCCTGATAGAAGCAACAGCACACACACCCACACACACACACCCACACACACACACACACACACACACACACCCACACACACACACCCACACGCACACACTCACACTCACACACACACACTCACACACACTCACTCACTATTTATATGCATATGTTTTGTGGCTGCAATCAGCAATTTTGCAAGTTTGTCAGCAACTTTATCCAAGCAAGACATAACAAAAATTCCAAGCCTAGCAAAAAAAAAAAAAAAAAAAGAAAAGAAAACAACAACAACACCAATATCAATTGCCAGCATTACAGAGAGTAGCAGAAGACCATCATTATCAAAAAAAAAAAAAAACACAAAAAAAAAGAAGAAAACAAAAGAAAAAAGAAAACAGCTCAGCGACCTCAGCAGCATCTGCATCAACCGTCGAGTCATCGTTGATATATATAGCACATCTGTGTATGTGTATTATCATCATCATCGTCAGTCATCAGTCATCATCAGTCATCAGTCATCAATCATCAATCATCGCATCATCAGCGTCGTCAATCCACAGCGTCATCGCAAGCACCAGCACTTGAATGCTCATCTAAACAAAGGCAGAAACAGATATTGTAGAGTTTAACATGTAAACATAATGAAATACTCGCTAAACTAGATCTTTAACGTTCGTTTAAACATGAACCAACTTTTTTTTTTGCACTTGTCGGAGAAGTACCCATTTTTGATATGAACAGCGATTTATTTTTATTGTTTTGCTTTTTTTTGGTTTTTTTTTGTTGTTTTCAAATGAGATCGATCAGTTGAGCAGGCGCTAAAATGATTTGCATGCAAGATTAGATCTTGAAATTGTTGATGTCGTTTGTAATTATGAAGTCATGATAATGTGCAAAAGAATTGGCACATTTTGAGCGATTGACTCGGATTTAATGAATTAAAAATTTGAAATTGTGATCCACAAATCTTGTGATCGTGATTTACAGCCGAAAAAAAACTCTAGTCATGATCGTCAAGTGATCTTCACTTCGTTGTATTTAAAACTCAAACGTAAACATTACGCATTCCGGTGACATGGCATTTATTCCGTATTCTCATAAAGATCCCAACTAGGAGTCCATCTAATTGGCCATGTTATCATACATTTGTATCATTTTATCACCGACTTTCGATCACCATGTGACTGATCCCATTGCAAGAGCTGAGCACTTTTATACATATATATTTTCATTGCAAATAATTTAAATGTACAATAAGAAAGGAAACAACAACAACAACAACAACAAAAACAAAAACAAAATGAATGTTTCGACTTCCGTTCCCCATTTAATGGAAAATTTTTACTGTGCGGGCACATAAGCAATTTTCGTTAACAATATACATGCATATATATACGGATCATATGTTTGCCAATCATTATCACATTAATTTTAATATTATTTTCATATATTTCTAAAATATTTTTTTTGTTTTATTCTTTAATTCTTTTTCTTGTGATTTGACACATTGTGTTAATTTTATACTCTAAAAAGAGTTTTGTTCAACGGTGTTTGTCTGCATTGATTTGCAATTTGGAATGTATATACCTATATATATACATATATATATATATATCCGTCACGTCCACTGGGCGTTGCACAAATATTTAAAATAGAGAAATTTGTGAAAAAAATAAAGAAATGTATGTCCTGGAGCCAAAAATTTGTGCTTAGCCCATAATCACTTTCAGCATTTGTTTTAGTAGAGGTCATTGCCCAAGACTTTCCACATGGTGTAACACTGGAAGCAGAGTATTAAGCAGTCGGTCAATTTCGACTGCAACGTTTTTACTTGATTGTTAATGAGATTTGTTTTTGGATCGCTGATTGATTTGCATATTAATTCGATTTCGAAACTAAACAAAACGAAGAAGGGTACACAATATCGTAAATACTTGTAATTAATATAAACCAACCTACTTAATATATATATATATATATATATATATATATGCATACATACGTACATACCTATTTAACAGACTAAGCGTTATGCATATATACGTTGTACATACAACTGTATCATACACCTAACATACTTACTTACTATGCTACAAGTGAAATGCGGAATCAATGTGAATGTAAACAAGCCAAAAAAAAAAGAGAGAAAAAAAAAATAATAAACGTAAATGAAGTAGAACAAAAAGAAAAAATACATAAATATAAATTACAAATACATATATTAATATTAATAATAACAAAATGCAGAAAAATTGAAAATTTACTGAATTAAAAAAATCTGTAGTTGATTTGTTTAACTGATTTGAATTGTTTACATCTTTTGCTCTGGTGTTCCTTTAGTCAGTTTTCTTTAACCCCCTGGCTTGCAGAGGTTGCACAGGTTTCCCCTGAGTGAAAAAAGAACCCCGTGCATGCAGAGCACGAAAGGAGACGAGCCCAATGCGATATATATATATATATATATATATATATGAACGAACCGATCGTATTATATCGACTCGAATCGAATCGAACCGAATCGGAACGGAGCGGAACGCGTGCCTTTTGGGCGCTGTGGCTGTTTGCGTATCATTAACATTAATTTTGCGCAAATGGCATTGATTTGTTTTTTATTTTAATTCACATTTAAAATGAATAATAAATACGATAATGATCATATCGCTGCAAAATATTTTTGTATATAAATATAATATTTTTGCTTTTGCTGCCGATCGCAATCAATCGCAATTTGTTTTCGGTATGGCTTTCAAAGCCTTTTACCAACCTGCCCATCCCCTCTGGCGCCCCTCCACCGCCCCGCCTTGCCTTGCCTCGTCAACAATAATCGCGATAATAAGCTCGAAGCTATCTCTAAACACTTTGGGCATGCCCATAAATTTCTAACACAAAGTGCATCCGACGTAGCCGCTCCGCTCCGCCTGTGGGACCACCACCACCCACCTTGCCCCCCGCTGGCCATTTTACAGAAGTGCGCGTTTCGGCGCCTGTGTATGTAGGCCACGTGCTATTGTTGTGAAATAAACAAGTATGCAAACAACTGTGCTCATTTATCATTTTTAGTTTTGGCTGATGAGTTTCGATTAATTTGTTTTTGTATTTTCGCATGGCCATCGATTTGCCATTTGTGACGCTGTACATCATTGGTAACATCACTAACTGCACACACTCTACTATATTTCTCACATTGTATCTACCAATCATTTGAGTTTAGAAAGCATTTGAAGATTTCTTTCCAGATGATCTAGTCATATTTTCATTATTGACCAGACAACGGGGATTAGTTTCTTTCTAAGAGTAAGAGGTTATCGATGGGTAAAAGTGCGATAATTTTGATCACTTTTTAATAGCCACTTTGAGTATGAGTACAAGAATTAAAAGTAGAAATCAATTGAATTTTTTAATTGGCAATAAAAGCGTAATAATTGTAATTCCACAATTACATTAGAAATGAAAACATGTTTTGTCAGACGAAATAGTTTCCTTGTTGCCATTAGTATTCTCTTGTTATCTTTGGGTTGTAATTCCCCTAATTAGATTAGTTTTTTAGAATGAATAATTAAACCAATTTCACGACTTACAGAGTAAAACGTTCACCGTTGCAAAATGAAGCTAAACCGTGTCCCAGTCCCTGCTTGTAATATTAAAATTGAAATTAATTACTCGCTTCTAATACTATTTCCATTGTGCTGCCGATCTGATGTATGTGCATATATATCTATATAAATATATAAATATGTGTGTGTGTGTGTCGTGTGTCTCGCACTATCCTTAACATTTGAAACATGCTTGTATTTCATTAGTATTTTGATTTCAATATTGTCAAACGAATTTATGAATTTTTTCCAATGATTTTCTATATTTTTTGGGTGCCTATAATTTTGTCGTATGTACTCGTAAACGTCGTATACTACAAATATACTTATATATATATAAATATATGTATATATATTTGTATATAAATATGTATATATATATCGCTCATAAACGTTAATCAACAACAACAACAACACCACTACAACCACCCAACCACGAACAACAACCAATGTCAACAGCTCTGCCCAGGATATCGAAGTATTATGATTGCGGTAAGTTGCATTTCCAGTTTTCTAGCCAAAATAATCAACCAAAAACCAAAAAAAAAAGAATAAAATAAAATAAAACAAAAAATCCCAGGCCCCAAAACCCAAAAAGAGAGAGTTACCCAGCCAGCGACCATATTCAAGCGTATTTGTTTCTCCACCTATATATACCTATATATATATATATATATATATATTTAACTATATGCCACATATATATAAAATAGATATATTTTTAACTAACTGTCTAACTACATACATATATATCTATCTGAATCTGTTCGTCAGTCTGTCTGTGTGCATATCCATCCATGCTGTGTCCTTGGCTGTGTATGCGTGTGTTTGGCGTAGTTATTGCAATTACATACATACAAACATACATACCTTCTTAAATGTAGCTTGCATGTGCGGTTTAATTAAATAAAAATAAGAAAAACAAAACAAGAAAATGCAACATTTATCGGTTATTATCTTTAGCATTAATGTTACCAATGCCCTGTCGATGATCCACAATGCCAACACCATTGGCGAGTGTGTGTATAATGTTGTAATGTCTTGTGGAGTGAAGATGGTTAAATGTTTAATTTAAAGCCACCTTTTATTTACTTCTCACTTGAAAATATATTAAAACAAAAACAAAAAAAAAAAAGAAGAAAACAAACAACAAAATTGTACACTTTTCATTGCAGCCGGTGATCCCAATTCCTGGCGTCTGGGCCGGATCGACGAGACTGACCATGAGACGGCCGTGTGAAAGCGCATCAGCATATATGTAGATGCTACATATATGTATATATATATATATCTATATGCATATACTAATATGTACTATATATCTAATGTGTGTATATAGAAAGCGAAGGTAGATCGCTTCAACGTGGGACAATGTTTAGACTTGTGTTTTTGAGTATTATTAGATGTATATTTTTTTAGGCAATATGGAATTCGCATACGAATACCAAAATGCAAAGAGTACATAATGCATACATATATACTACTTACACAATATGTATGTATTTAATAACAGCTACTTTGAATGCGATTAGGTCGAGTTGCGCAACCAATTGATTAAGCTACAAAATCCATGTTGATTGACGAAATGTATTTTTTTATTATCTAAACTTAAGAATACACAGCATATAATTAAATATAGTATTAGTTTGTATGCGTTTGCAATAGATTAAGTGTGTAACTATGTGTACTTGTGGCCATTGGATGCCTGAGCTCATTCAGAGTTCGAATTTAGCAATCGTTAATATACATAAATGTGGACAAACCTATTCAGTGTACTCATTCCACTCTCTCGATTACAACCCAGATTCGCAGCTGAGTCTTACAATTTATTTATGTGCCCCATTTTGTTTTGTTACTTTCAAATATTTCTCCTTAAGGTAATGTTGAGCTTACATAAACTTGATTGACCACATTAAAAATATAGCAAGAATTTAAGAAACAAAAATTATTTCAACATTTGTTTTAGCTGCTGTTCGCTATTATCGAGACTGGCACGGATGGCTCGTTAAGGCCCATCCATGTTTAATTGCAAGCATTCTCCAAATATTTCCATATCACAAAAAATAGATTCAGTAAAAATAATATGCAGGCGTGCTCCAATTTTGGGAAAACGGAAAAGCTTTCTCCTTTCAAATGATTTGAATATGCATGAAGAAAACCAATTCAAAATGGTTCGATTTTTTTTTTTATTGACTTTAAATTTGAAAATTAGATACGCATTTTTTAATATATGTACGTACATAGTTACTTTGCGGTTCAGTGGAGTTTATCATCGCCAAATAATACCTTATCGGTTCCGCCCACATCTTGTGCCTTGTCGTGCCCAACTAGATTCTGCATCTCAGCATTTCTCTAGTAACTTTCCGCCATGTCCAAACAAACCGCATTGAGAATAAAAAATCTGTTTTTTTTTTTTTTTGTTATTGCGTGGAATAATTTGATGGCTGGGTTGACATCTCTACAAAAATCGAAGATTGTAGGGAACTCGCTCTAAAGGCAACCAACAAAATTTTGATTACTTTTCAATTTGAAAATTATTTTTTTTCCCAAAATGATTCATGCAAACAGTATTTAATGTGGTATTGATTCGACAAATTACAAATGATGGCCATTTTGATTTGAACGTTAACCGCAAGTATTCAGCTTAAAAGATATATATTTGTTTTTGAGTTTCTAGTGGAGAAATCTTTAATATTTTAGCTACTAATAGTTGAAATGTTTTTGATAAGTATTTGATAGTGTATTTTATACGTGGAGATGAGTAACAATTGGGCGAAATTACATACATACACATACATATATATAGTCAAGCCTTCGATTTCCGACTCCACTGTAAAAATGTCTCATGGAAAGAGTCCATTGCATATTTCTTGGTGCTGCACGAAAATTGAAAATGAATTGAAGCGAAATGAGTGTGTGAATGTGGCAGACAAGAAGTGGAAATATGATGACAAATATGCATTTAGAGACACGCCCTTAACAAAATGCCATCCCCCAGCCCACCCAAAACGAGAAAAACGCCCCATACAAAATTGTCTGAAATTTAAGTATTATATTGTTGTAATTGATTTAAAGTGTTAAATAAATTAAATATTTATTGTTGTTGGCGTGAATGAATTTTTTTCAATCAAAATTAACTTTAGATGTGTAAGCCTAGCAAAATTCAAAAACCAAAGACAACTAACAAGAGCAATGTAATAAAGTTCATAATAATAATAATAATAACAATAATAATAACAATAATAATAAAACATAATGAGCAAGTGTTGATTAATTAAATGATTAGCTAGAGATATGAAATAACGTAAATTAAATAATAGTTCACTGAGACGGTTAGGAAATACAACTATAAAATATGTATACAATTAAGCGATACATACAATTACATAAATATATTTATGCATTCAAATATAAATAAAAACTATTATTGAATTGCTGCTGGATGTGCAAACGGCAATGAAACATATAATATTTTATAGTAAATGAACAGAGGCAGAAAGCTAACTAAACACAATGAGCACACCCAAGTTGTCAGCTAAATTCTTGCATTCAGTCTGAAAATTCAAATACACATTTTCAGTTTAAGTTTGCAATTTATACAAATACATGTTCTGGCCCTTGGCTTTAATTTAGCATCCATAAATGCAAATGCCTATTTTGAAAATGCATTCAAAACTCATCGTCAGGTGCTCAATTCTTGAGGTTTCATATCGCTTGCATTCAAATTTGCGAAATTTGGCCTAAATATTGGTTGGTTAATAGAAAATTTGGTTTATTGTTCATATGTTGCAATATGCGTTGCATACGTTCATCTAACTTCTCATTATAGAAATATACAAATGCATACTATATTTATCTGATAAAACACCTGCGAATCGAAATAAACAAATTTATACCCAGCAAATAAAAACAACAAAACAAACAATCAATAAAACAGTTAACTGTATTTCGTACCTTTGAGCATAAATAAAAGTTGGAGAAAAAAAATCGAATAATAATTCATTACTGAATAACATTCATTCTTATGTTATTTAATAGTTGATATGCACATATATCAATTTATATTTTTCATTCATCAATATTCTTGCAGCATCGTTTTGAAAAAGAAGTAGCTTACTAAACTCCATTTGATGCAGGCCTTAAATATTTGTGTTCAAATGATTTTTGATTGCTTTTTTTTTGGTATCGATTTTAGAGAATGCTTTGAAGCAGTTAGCTGTAGATCTGATAGATGCTTTCAAAATGTGCGGCAGACAGATAAGTCCTTGTGTGACAAACCCTACAAAACTAAAATTAAAATTCGAATTTGCATGTGAGCAGGTGGATTACAGACATATCTAATAAACTGTATGCTGCTTGTTTCTGCTTTTGTTGTGTGCTTCAGCAAAATAGGTCACATTCTAAGCTCCATTGCTGGCTGTAATGCAATAATGATATCTAAGGGTTGAGTCTCAAATTAAGTTGCTCTCTGCACAATTAACACCTAAGCTTAATCTTGTGGGATGAGGACACGTGACCACTGGACAGCTAAAAATAAAATAAAAATTAAAAAAAAGACGGCTAACTGTCTCTGTGAATGAGTTTTATAATAGATACACAGATCATTGAACAAAGGCCCAACCGCATATTAACAACAACCAACAACCAGCAGCAGCAGCAGCAGCAGCAGCAGCAGCAGCATCATTATCATGTTGCTTTGAAGTTTGCAAGGGCTTCAGCGTACTATGGGAAAATTCCATTTTCATTTCATGGATCCCGTTACTTAGACCAACATATGTATGTGTATGTGTCTCTGAGACCCGATTCGGCTGATTCTGATTAAGAGTATATATACTTTATGAGGTCGAACATATTTTCATCTACAATTACCATTTTTTAAACTTTTGGGCTTAGGGTATAAAAACCAAAACGAAAAAATATATATTTTAGGCACGTCGAAGTTAACAGACCCTTGCAGACCTCAGTCCATCTGCTGACTCCCTTTTTTTGCTCAAATTGAATCAGTGTATTCCGCAATCAGCTATGTCCGACTGGAATGCTCTCCCCTTTTTTTTCCAAACTTTTTTAACGTACCATTACGTACTACTACGTAAAAATCCAGCTAACAATACGAAATCGATCACCGTCAAAAAGTTTAAGAAAATATCGAAATTTTCTACTTTAGAACGGGGATCTAAATTGCAGTCCTAAATCCGCAACTTTAAGTTCTCTTAAGCAATTATTTTTTGTCGTAAAATGTGTCCTTTTCATCCTATAGTCCAGGGGCAAGTGGCTCTAAGCATGCTTTAGTTTTTAAACGACTGCAGCGAGCTGATACAATTGTCCCACTGACCGCACTCTCCAACTCTCAAACCAGCGGGTTGGGTTTACAGTCTGTCTGTCTGTCTTTCTGTCGGTGTCTGTCTGTTTTGCTGACTGACTTCTACTGCTCCAAAGCGCACAAAGTTTTGACTGCTGCTGGTCAAAAGTTGGATGCACCAGATGCAAATGCTATATAAAAAATGTCAGATAATAAACAGAATTGGCTTAAAAACAAAATGGAACCAGTAAAAAGTTTCAGTTTCAGCGGGATGTAACCCATTTCATAATACTCTGATCCAGTTTAATGACAGTGTAATACACATACAGCAATTTTTTAAAGATGTACTTAGATACTTTGCTCTTTACTAAGTTAAGTTAACTTATTAACAAGCCGTGCCGCGAACATAATACTTTGTATGAAGCAGAAATGTTTTGATACATATTTAAAGAGGCCAGAACCAATATACCTTTCCATCTAAGGTATCAGAGTGCTTAAAGTCTGGCGAAAAGCGAAAAGTTTTGCTGCGCAAAGTTGCTAAAAGGATCTCAAACTAGCAAGAACAATATCCTCGGCGGGGGGGCATACGAGAGGAGAGTCAAGAATAGGAAAGTCATAAAGTCGCAAACAATTTCGGAATATATAAATAATTTGATGAGGTTGTGGCCCATCTGACTGGCATGGCTCCAACTTGCAGCACAATCGACTGACTGCGTTGCAGTTGATTACATTTGGTTAAAACTCTGTAGTTCAATTATTGTTAATTTCGAGTGAGCTTTGGTAAATATATTGAAGATATTTACAATCAAATATGTAAATAGTACAAAGTACTGAGTACTGGTCCCAAATTGCCGGCAACTTTCTATGTGTTTCTGTGTGTGCGTTCAATCTAATTTGTTTTGCAAATAAATTGCACTAATTTGAACATTTTGCAGCATGCTTAGCAAAGCTCCAACATGGCAGGTGCAAACGAAAGCCAGCCAGTTGCATGTTAAATGCTGAATGTTGAAATAGCTGTAGCTGTTTGGTGTTGCACCTTGGCTTCCGCTCCACTTACAGCTGAAGAGCGCGCTGCAAAAATACAAATTTGCCCATTGGAATGGCGGCTTCAACTTTGGATTTGTTGCTGGTTGGCAGTGCCTTAAAGCAGTTATCGTTAATAAACCAGTTACAGTTAGGCCGGACGTGAATTAGTAGGACAGTCAGCCAGTCAGTCAGTCAGTCAGTCGGTCAGTCGGTCGGTCATTCGATGGCTGAAATAGTTTATGTGTTGCGACACGCATTTAATCCCATTGGGGCTGTGGATTGTGGCAGCATTATGAGTTAAAGATGTGCACGTTGCGTGGACTGGTTGTAGTCGCATTTGCTTAGTTATGAGTTATTGTTTGCTAATTGTTATCGCTTCGCTGCCTCTTGCTGTGAGTGGGTCAGTCGCGGAGGCATTGAAGCGTGTCACGTGAACCCAGTGAACCGACGGAGTCTCTTGCCCCACTCCCAACACCCAACACCCAACAAGCACATTGGTCAACAACCCAAAGCGCTCATCAATATATACACAAATGAGTACAGTGTGTGTGTGTATGTGTGTGTGTGTATATGTGTGTGTGTGTGTGTGTGTGTAAACGTGTCACGGTGTTATATATTAAAGCGTTCATTGGCTTTGGCCATTCATGTTTAACCAATATCTTGTACAATAACATTAACTAAATATTGCCAAAAGTCTTACAAAGTATTATTATTTCCCATATACTTTTTTTTTATTTTTTAGCGATTTTCAGCACAATTATAAGAAAAACTGGTGAAGACAACTTTTTGAAAAGAGTTACTATTATTAAGTAAATGGGAATGGGCTGATAAGCAAAGACACTAGCTAAAATGAGTATTTTTTTCCACATTCTTTTCCCACAGTGATAAACTTTGCACACAGCAGTCGATAGAAAAGAAGTGCCAGATGAAGTTAAAAAGGCGATAAGCGACACCTGTAATAAGGATTGTACAGTATTTTCCATTAGGGAACATAATTGCAGAAAATATGTTGCCAAATGCTGCGCCTGTGGCTATGCAACAATTTTTTTAACATACTTTATTTGTCTGTTTTGTTGTACGTGCACCAAAATCATCACGTTGATTCTCTTTCAGTCACTTGTGGGGATTCAATTAATTGAACGAGCTGCAGTAAGTGCAAAGGAGTCAGGCTGTGCTGCAAAGTGAGTGCAACAAAAGCAAAAGCCGTTGTCATTGGCCCTTTTGTTGCACACACGCATAGGCATGGACACAGGCATACTCATGCATAAGTGAATAGATCCCAAAGCTACCGGAAGTCACTTTCGACTAACAACGGAAGTTGCAAATATCTGTTGTTTGTTGGTGCTGCTGCGCTGCTGCTGCTGCTGCTGCTGCTGTTGGTGGTGTGTTGTTGTGTTGTACATTCGCTGTAATGATGCGTACGAGCGAAAGGTAGCAACATGAGGGCGTCGACGTCGCCGTTGCTGGCAGGTCAGCCAGTCAGCCAAGAAACAAGCCTCGGCTGGCTGGCACTCGTGTATGCTCATAGCCGAGTCCTGGTTCGTGTTGTCGCTGCTGCTGCTGCTGTTGCTGCTGGCATCCTGGCTGGCGACATTTTTAGTTAATGAGAAGTTCTTGAACGCGTCACAACGACAGCAGCTGACTGAATTTTGCAGTGCTTTCATTTTTTAGCGCGCAAAAATATTCGTCAATTATTTAGAGATTTTTTTTTAAATGTTTGTTAATTTTTTGAAGTGTACAAGTGTGAAAACCATAAATTGCTTTGGCTGGAATAGTTGGTAAAATGCGTGATCATCCAGCGGTGCCCAATGTATTTCGTGTGGCCTCATCGCACAGCATTAATAGCCTGGGCGTAACGGCAACGCCTCGCAGCAATAACCAACAGCGACTTCATGGCAGTAGCAACATCAATTACAGCAAGAGCAACAGCTTCGAGCAACAGCAAAATCAGCAACAACATCAGCAGCAACATCAGCAGCAGCAGCAGCATCAACCATCACAGGCGGAATTGCAAAAGGAACAGCCATTGGCAAAGCATCAGTTAACTACCAGTGCGTCCATTGAGCATCCACATCAATCCGTGCAGCCACAGCAATCGCCATATGCAACATTGCCACGTGGCAGCAGCAACGGTCAACGACGTGCACAGCAACAACACTCAGAGCAGCAGCAATCACAGAAACTGCAAACAGGCGTCATCAACACAATATCTGGTAGCATTCTATCAACTGGCTATAGCTCACTCGCAGATAGTTTAAGCGACTTGCAATTTAACAATGTGCACAACAACAGCAACAGCAACAGCCACAGCAATAATAACGATCAACGACAGCAACAACTGCAACAACGACAACAACAACAGCAACAACAGCGACAGGTGGTATCGTTGGGCTTATACAAAGCTGCCGAGCAACAACAGCAGCGGATACCAACAACAACAACAACAACAACTAGCAATGGTGTCCTGAATGGTCAAAGCGGATTCAATAACATGGCCAACGTTGGCGGCGGTTACCTGTGGCTGTTGACACCTGTCGCGGCTAGGTGGGTACACGAGCACATTTCACTTTTAAAACTCCTAAATTAAATTCACAGCAGCCACTTTTGAGCTGCTCAGTAATGAATAATTAAGGGCCATTAAGTACCCACATATTCAGCTCTTATTCCGTTAACACATAAAATAGTTGTAAACTTTTCTTAAATCAAGCTCAAAGTGCGTATCTGGCTGGGGAGGGGGATTGTAATTTTTACATACATTTTAATCCAAACCACTCTAAACTTGATGGTGCCTGCTTCGGCGTACGCTCGAAAATGCTGTGCAATAATATAAGATTTGTCATTTTTCATTGATTTCCACAAAAATCAATTTTAAATGAATGATATTTCGATATAAACTATTTCGTCGCTCGATCAACACGCCAATGGAAACAAAGGAAACCTAAGAAGGTTGAATATGAAGGACAGGGAAAGAATGAACTGAACTGAGGCTGACAGGGTCAGCCAGAGACTTAGATGTATTATATATATATATATATATAAGTAAATAAGTATTCTCGCTCCTTCTCGGCCTTCCCGCTGGCATATAATTTTGTTAGGGAAATCAAATCACAGCAAAGTGGACTTAATTTGCTTGTTAGCAATGAATTTGCAGTGACTGGCACTGACGTCGCCACTTGAGCCCGTACTTGCATTTCCCTCCTCTTTTTCCGCCTCATCATTTACCTGGACAGCGTCATGTTCCTTAACGTCCTTAACGCAACCTGGCACAATTTGCTACTCTTTATTTTGTACATTACATTCACTAACCTAATTTAAGTTTTAGTTTATTGGTCCGTTGTCATTCTGTCATATATGCCATAAACTTGGCAACGTGTTGGATGTTGCCATCCTTCTCATAATTAATAGATGCCAAATACTTAGGCAACCGCACTTAAATATATTCACATTTAAATTATTATATAATTTATGTCTTGTAAATGCATATAATGAAAACCTAATGCCCAAAACCTATTTACAGATTTTATAAATATTTATTGATTTTAGAAATATTAATAAGCAACAAGTAATATTTTCTTTGCAAGTCCTGATGCAGCTGTCAGACTCTCATTAAACTTAAAGTAACATAATGTTTTGCAGAGTATATGATGACTTTACTCTTTATGTACTCGACGGCAAAAGTAATGGTTGTTGAATGTTCATTTTTTATCTTCTGCTCACGGCAGAATTTTAAACAAAGTTGGGTATTTTTTTTTAATCAGCATTCAGACAGACGCCCACATCTCACACGACTTTACCCAGCCGAGTGTGTGTCGATGGGGCGTGTCTTTATTACGTGGAACATGCATGGGCTAAAACAAAGACCTGGCTATCTTTTGCAGCATTTCGGTGGCAATTGTTATCGCCGCTTTGGCGGGCCCCCAGTGGCTTTTTACGGAGGAGAAAGTGCCCAATATCAATTACAATGGCACAGCCAACTTCAAGGCACAGGACGATGGTGCATATATAACCAAATATACCAAATCCAGTCTCTGGATATTGTGCACAACGCTGCCAGGTAAGTGCCTGTGTGTGCATGTGTGTGTGTCTGTGTGAATGTAATTGCGAGCATTTCATAAGCACAATTGTGGACAATGAATGATATTGCGCATACGTCATGTGGGCCAAACAAGATATTGTCTGACGACATGGCAACAGCAGAGACGAAATGGAGCACAATCACTGCATCCAATCATACTGTACATCAGTAAGTCAGCTTGTCCGTCAAACCAGCAATCAATCAAAGCAAATAAACGGAACAACTGCAGCCAATTAACACGAAAGTGCGGCAACTGACCCGATTTATTTCGCTGACAGCAGCCAAAACTTATCTCATGCCAACTTCCATGTGTGCTTGTCTGTGTGCATACACACACACACACACATACATACTATGAACAGATATTTGTTAATCCTTTTTTTTGTTAAAGGCCTGGATGTGGACACATTCAATTGCATTAAAATTGATTACTTCCCAGAGGAAGGCTATCAACCGGATCCGCAAGACTCAACGCCAGCCATACCATGTAAGTAAAAAACTCCGACACAGTTGACAGAGTGATAATACCCGCCAATGATATACCCTGTATCTAGACTGACAAAGCATTGTCAATCTTCTGTAGTCTTTCCTTAGAACTGATTTGTGAATATGCATGCCATACGAGAATAGACATATCTGATTTTGTGGCTTGACCTCTCAAGCTTCAATAAGAATTGAATTCCTTTCTTCTCTGAATTGGTGTAGGCTGTTATTGATATTAAAATAATAAATATTTGATTGCCTCCTAAAGCCTGTTAATATTTAAATATCCATTTGCTCTTAGATTCGTAAGCCGTTTAATAATTGATGGAAAGAAGAGATAGAACTTGGAACAGGTTTAAGTGATGCAGAGGGATATTTTGTGTAGAAAAAGTTATACGGAAACAATGTTAAATTGAAATGCAAATAATTTATTTCCTGTACATTTTATATTCGGAAAGACAGCCTCGATTAAAGAAATATTTTGAATTGGATTTTTTAGTATTTTTTTTATACTATCTCTTTTGTTCTAATGGAATTTCATGAATTTGACAACAAACTACCAATTTAAAATTATATTTTAAAGTCGCCGCGGGTGACAATTTCACACGGATGACAACTTCACAAATAAATAATTTAATTTCGAAGGACTTAAAATGGTTCGAGCTAATACGATTTTTTTTCGGTTGTGCTTGAACAATGTAGCCACGGGCTAAAAACACCCGGCCTATAAACTAACTTATGACCACAATTTTTGTTCGATTAGCGTCCAAATCATTTATAAGCTGTTAAATCAGATAGCATCGAGAACAGAGAGAACAGTAAAGGGAAGGAAGTTAATGAATACTAGTGTTTTTTGTTTACACCTGTGTGTTGGTCCTTTAGAGCATTGTAAAAGGTTTTATTGAACTGTTGTTTTCCCTTTGCCAGATACGGTGACTAAGTCTTCCCCCATCTTCTTGGCCTCCGGCATCTTTCTGCTCATCAGTTTCATTGTCTTTCTGATACCTACGTGCTCCCATCAAAATAATGTCTACTACTTTAGTGCCGGAATACTCTTCATCGTCAGCGGTAAGTAAAGAAAGCAAACAATAGTTCAAGTACAAATATTAAGAAAATTACTTAAGAAAATCTGAGCAGGGAAAAGCCAATGTTTTAACAATAAAACTTATGCAATTTATATTTATATTTATTTATATTTGAGGTGTCTATAGATATGCCACATATCTTTCTTTAACTAATAAATAATAAATTGTCTGTTTGATGTGTGCAGGTCTTATCATGCTAATCGGACTGATTGCCTATATATCCATATTAAAGGCTGAGATTGGCTCCAAGCTGCGACCGCGTTCCACATTGCAGCCGCCACTCATCAAGGTTACCTATGGACAGAGTTTCTTTCTATTTGTCTTTGGGTTCATTGCCACCGAGTTTGTTGGAGTCCTCAACATCTTTCTCTACATTAATCTGCAAGAGCTCAGTTATTACAGCGTAAGTATTGCTGGATGGTGGTTGGTAGGTGTATGTCTGTGACTGCATCCGCCTCTGTAATAATGAATATTGGGACAAGACCGTCTTACCGTTCATCTTGGGTGGCGACTATTGCATTTCCCATAGCGCCCACTTCCGGCTGACAGCGAAATTGCAAAAGCCGAAAAGAAATTAATAACATGAACTGCCTGGAAACAGTTGGTTGCCTCCTGGTGCACTTGGCACCCCTAACTTATGCTTCATAATTCAAAATAAAAATGCATAATATACCATTTACATCTGTCAACATTTCAGTATATATTATATACTTATGATAATAATATTAGATATACACAATAGTCATGAGCATATTGGAAGCTGCTAAAGTTAGTTAAAAATTAATTTTTCTTGCCTTTTGTTTCTCTTTTCATTTTACATGAACTTCTCTTAATGCTGGACAGCGACTGCCATGCTTCAGTGTGGTCAACATGCAGACCAAGATCAAGGAGGGCCAGCATGAGCATGCGCTTCACAGTCATTCCTACAAACGGTATAAACAGTCTCAGGGGACGCCGGCAGCAGGATCTCAGGAGGCGGTGGCATTTTCTATGCCGTTGCATGGACAACAGCTGGGAAAACACCTACAACGACATGGCCAGCAGCAGATGCGTCAAATGGCGCTTCGGTCAAGCAATGGACGACTGCATCAGGTGCATGATGCGGGACGTGGACCCACTCAGACGCAGACGCTGCCTGGCGGCTACGCGTGCCGCAAGCATCCCAATGCCAACAGTTTCGGCTCCAATTCGAATCTCTATTTGCAAAACGATGTGGATCGTCGCTTCTACTTTGAGAAGCCAGCGGCTTCCAACTGTAATCTGCACTCGCGCAGCTTTGCAAAGTCACTAAATCAGCTGTGTGTTGAGCCAGCTGTGTTGGCCCCGGACACGTCACCGGCTGACCAACGACCACTACCCCCAGCAGCCATGTTTGCCGATCTGCCCCAGGAGTTTCCGCTGACGCGCTCGGTCTCGACCACGACGGACATTTACACGTCGGCGGCATCACCCAAGACGCATATGCAGCACAAACATCGACGCAACATGGCCACCAACACCCAGACGCAAAAGCTGCGGGATAACTACGAGGAGCAAGCGGCTCGCCTATGTGGTCTGAAGCGTGGCCTGCGCAAGACCAAAGACGAACTCTTTCAGGAGTTTTGCAAGCGTGCCGGCATACGCAATAAACCCAAGAACATCTACTACATCTCCAGCGAGGAAGCAGACGATGTGCCTCAGTCACAGCTGCCACAAACGTCGAAGAGACGCCGAAGCCAAAATGGTTACCACAAAAATGATGACGATGATGCTGATGGCGATGAGCATGGATTTCAAGAATTTCGCTCGGGTCCTTCATTGGACGATGATCATCTCTTCGTCGTGACTGGTAAGTTGGCAAAGTACTAACATCCAATCATACAAACTGATGTATTTTTTGTCTTTGTCTCTGTAGATCACGCTCAGCTTGTGCATCCTCATGGCATGGCCGCATCCATGTATATGGATCCGATGTTGCCAACGTTACGCAAACTCAACTCGAATCTTTCGTTGCACACGCAAGCGTCGAATATGTGGGCATGGCCGGAACAACGCCTGACGTCGGAGCACAACCAGAGCCGGACGTTGCCACGATCGTTCATGCGTCAACCAGCGGGCAGTCAGGATAGCCTGGGCTCACAGCTAAGCAGCTACAGTCCTGGCCATCAGCGCATTTCGCAGCTGATGCAGCACCAGCACCAGCAGCAACAGCACCAGCTGCATCCACAGAATCGCTATCTGTCCACGCTGACGCTGCTTCATGGCGAGGAGGCACAGATCAAGGCTCAGCCACAGCCACAGGCTGTGCAGTGGCCAACGGCGATACCATCCTCGCCATCCAATTACGTCAATGGCTATCCACATCCGCAGCCGCTCTACACGCCTGCCATTGCCGTGCCAGTCTCGAGCAGCAGCAACACATCTCATCCGGCCAAGTTTCAGCGCGCGTATGCCTTCGACGATGCCCATCGTCGTGGTAGCCTAGCTATCGGAGAAGCCTTCGATCTGGACGAGATGGAGCGCGATCGCCGACGCTCTCATGCAAGCCTTTTTGGTGGCACTGGCGTAGCCCAGAAGCGGGAACAATACGATCTCATTAATGGTACTGCAGTTTAAGGCCACATTTCGATTATAAATGATGGTCAACAGAGAACGTCAAGATTAGGATATTATCTTTGGTGTAGTTCGAATCATCGATTCGTCGCTGTGGCTATATATTATGGCTCTTCCAGTTATCAATATCGATAATATGAATTTGCGTATGAGCAAAACCGAATTTAAATCATAAAGTCTAGTTGACCAAAGCCAAGAAATGCATTTCGAATAATTTGCATAAAATAATTAATGTTTGTAAAACAACATATATATATATATATATATAGTATATATACACATATTCTGGATCAACGTTAATCGAAGCCAGCTGTCCGCCAGTGAGTGTCTATCGGTTTCGATGTCTGATAGCAACAAATAATCGGTTTTTGAAATGACAAGGCTTACTCCGCTATGCAGACCTTAGTAGATCTAACCTAGTTCTAACGATTTCACTGTTTCTAAGTTACTGCTGTATTCCGGATTATTTAGTATACATATGTATGTACATAGATTAGGCCTTAATGGATAATACTGATTGAATAAGTTCTGATTTGAAAAAATCTACTAATCCTTAATAAATTCTATTTAAATGCTTGATGTATTCACGAGTTTGATGTAATCCCTATTGACAGATTAGACATGTGTACCTATCGGCGAGCGCGACCGGTAAAGCAATCGTCAGTTGTCAGGGTGACCATCACAGGTTCATGCGTCTCCAGAACTCCAGACTGTGCGACAATGTCGAACCCGACGATGCCAGCGATGTGGTTGAGGCATTGTCCACCAGCTGAGCGTACACTTCACGCAGAACAGTGGGTCGGGTGTCCAGGCTGCTTGAATTGCCCGTTGGTGGGGTGTCTCCGATACCGCATAGCGCCTTCAGCTGAGCAGTAGTGGGAGTTGCATCAGTTCGATTGCTGGGCGCCGTATGTGGTCGCTGGCACAGCGCACTGGTTGAGCAGGTGGTATTCAGTTTAACTGTTGGTGCGCTCCAAGGGCGCGTTGCCGGCTCTGTAACGAGCTTGTTGTAGTACTTGGCTTGTGCTCCTGCTTGGCTAGCAAAGAGCTGCTGCATTTTGGCCATGGAACGCTGCAGTTTGCGACTGGCAGGCGGCGTTAGCGGCCTATCGTCGCCTAAGACGACGTCGCCGCTCATCGAAATTGTGTCTGCAAGGGATGTAACCGTATCACTGCTGAGCAAATCCAGCTCAGCGTCGAACAGTGGCAGTTGGGATTCTGCAGTGAGCAGCTGAAGACTAGGGTGCTTGCCGACGCGAGCCAATGTGGCTTCCACACGACTTAGGAGCTGCTGCGCCTCATCCTGCACCTGGCCGACGAGCATCTTATTTGGCAGCTCCAGCTCCAGCTCCAGCTGCTGTGCCGCTGTTGGGGACTCTGATAATGTCGCCTGCAGCTCAGCAAAGAGTTGGCGCCGTGCAACGGCAATGGCATTGGTGAATTGATATCTCTCAGAATCCAGCTCGGAAGCACTGTATACAGGTGAGGCCACTGTTGGCAAAAGCATTTGTACTGGCTGTTGGACATCCTCGTGCCTCGTCATCCGTCGCTGCCATTCCTGGCAGCTGTCCAGTGTGCGATGAATGTGCTGCTGTTCGTGGGTACAGCTGGTGCGCGTGTTGATCTTCTCTGTGTGGGCACGCGCATGATCCAGATAACCCAGAAAGCTCTGCTCCAGCAGATCGCTCTCCTGTTCCAGCTGTTGCATGCGGTTCCTGCGGGCATTAGTTGGGTTAATTAGTTATCTGCATGGAAATGGTATGGGGTATTGTGTATTTACTTGGCGCTAAGCAGTGCTTCATTGAAGCTGGGCACGTGGGCCGGTGAGCGAACACCTGCCAAGATGTGTGCTTTGTGACTAGCTTTGGTATTGGAAGCCAAGTGGTGCAGTTGTGACTTGCGCGACTCAACTGCAGTTGCAGGAGCAGTGGCAGGAGCAGCGACAGTTGCAAGAGCAGCGGCAGTGGCAGGAACAGTGGCAGAAGCAGGAGCAGGGACTGGAGCAGTGACTGTGGCAGTGACTGTATCAGTGACTGGAGCAGTGACTGAAGCAGTGACTGGAGCAGTGACTGAAGCAGTGACTGGAGCAGTGACTGGAGCAGTGACTGGAGCAGTGACTAGCGCAGTGACTGGCAGAGTGATTGAAGCGGTGACTGGATCAGTTACTGGAGCAGTGACTGGAGCAGTGACTGGACCAGTGACTAGCGCCGTGACTGGAGCAGTGACTGGAGCAGTGACTGAAGCAGTGACTGGAGCAGTGACTGAAGCAGTGACTGGAGCAGTGACTGGAGCAGTGACTGGAGCAGTGACTAGCGCAGTGACTGGCAGAGTGATTGAAGCGGTGACTGGATCAGTTACTGGAGCAGTGACTGGAGCAGTGACTGGAGCAGTGACTGGAGCAGTGACTAGCGCCGTGACTGGCAGAGTGATTGAAGCGGTGACTGGATCAGTTACTGGAGCAGTGACTGGAGCAGTTACTGGAGCAATGACAGAAACCGGGGCAGTAACAGGAGCAGTAGAAGGAGCATTGACTGGAGCAGTGGCAGGAGCAGGGGTAGAAGCAATGAGAGGAGCAGCGCCAGCCGAATCCTGCACCTTGTAAGGATCTAATGCGAGTGGGAGCGGTGGTTGCTGCAGTAAAGGCGCCTTCGGCGAATTCAAACTCGATTTGGATTTTGATGTTGTACAAGGTTTGAGCTCCGTTTCTGTCCACACTGGCTGAATACGCACAGCCTGCTGGGCGGCAATTTCGGTTTGTTGAATCTTCTCCGCCAACAGCTGATGATGTGCCTCATAGTGCTCCAGCAGATGAAAAATCTTCTGTACCAGTTCACTCATTTCCGGCGAATGCGAGTCGCTCTCCACATGCTTGCACAGCGTCTGCAGGATGCAATATGTATAGATGAATTCGATTAATTGGGGTTCATGCTCTTGGAATGGGGTATTAACTTACGCGCCAGGAGCTCTGCCGGATACTGAGGTAGATTAGTTCGACATGGTGACGCAGCTTCACCTTGTAGAGCTCATCAAGTCGCTGCTTTTGCAGCATTAGCGCTTTGTTCAGTGACAGCTCGACGCGATCCAGGAAGATGCGACCACTTTTGCTATGCAGCATCTCATAGATCCATTGCACGTAGCTACGCGATTTTACTGGACCTGCTGCTTGTGTCTGACTGGCGACATTATTTGAGGATTGCTGCCTGCAATCTGTGTTAGTGGTTGCATGCCTTCGACTCGGCTCCTTAGTTTCGGTGGTTTGGGTAACCTTTTCCACTGTGCGAGGCACTTGTGTTTGGCTCGCGGTGTCCAGGAGCTGTTGTGTTTTCGGCTGGATTAATAGCTTGCCTTCTTGCACGCCCATAAAATGTCCGTGGGAGAAGCCTTCGCGATAGCCTTGCTTGTAACCTTGATGCCTGCCCACAAGACACTCCTGCTCCATGGACAAATTAAGCACATTGCTCAGCACTTGGACGCAATCAGTGAGCTCACCCATCAGTGCCTGCCAGCGCTCCAGCGTCACACGCACAGATGACGAGGGCTGCTGCATCTGTTCCTTGAATTTCTGTATGGTTTGGTGCATTATTGCCAAGGTGGCCACCTGCTCCGCATGCAAATGCGGCAACTCTGGCACTGATGCAGACCCCACCGGCAATTCAATTGGGCCCACCGAGGAGAGCACATGAGTGCCACCCAGCTTGTCCTGCTCGGGTACCTCCTGATGCTGTCGTGGTACAACGGGCAGCTGAGTTACCATCTGTCCCGGCCCCAGCGTTCGTCCAGCACGTGTGAGACGCTGCCGCTCCACCAGCTCCAGTTGCAGTAGCTGTTCAAACGCCTTTGTCGAGATGATTTCGATGGGTGGCGCACAGGACTTGCTGAGATTGCAGATGTGTTGCATTAACTGGGACAGCTGCTGACCCACGTCGTTAAGCAACTGTGAGGCATGTGGTCCAATGAACACAGTGCGTCCATCGGCGGCACCAATCAGCTCATCGGCCTCATACAGCTGACTAGTGCCCATTTCCTTGCTGATCTCCAAGCACGCCAATGGCTCCGTTTGTACGGCCTCCGTTTTGCTTTGCCTCGGCTGAGGATCGAATTCTAGTAGGGCTTTAAGCACGATCAGCAGCAGGGATTGTTGTGGCTGTTCGCTATACAGTTGCTGCACCGTCTCTCCCTTGCTTGTTTGTTCAGCTGCTTTCTTGCCCATCAGTGCGGTAAGCAGCTGCTGCAGCTCCTCCCGATTAAACCGGAACTCGGTGCGACCCTGAAACTTTGGCAGTGTATGGTGATGCGGCATCTCGCTGCAGAACACGGACAGCGTATAATGACAATTCTGCTCGTAGAGAAATTCGGCGACGAGCGTGTGCAGTGCCAGCATTATTGGAGATGGCAGCAAACAATTCGATTGCCGGCCCATCTGTGCAGCGGTCGCTGATGCCCGGTTCAGCAGCTTACCTAGACGTAAGAGGAATAAGCTGAAATGAATGCTCGGATGGGCAATGATATTCACCAATGCGAGTCACTTACCCAGCGAGGTGCTGTTAAATCTGTTGATTAACTCCACGCGGAGTTGCGAATGCATTTGGTTCTCAATGCCCTCCTCTGACATCCATTTGCGAAACTGTCGCTCAAAGTCCGGCTCTGACAGCTGCGCCAAATGCTCTAACTGCAGTCGCAGCTGCGTGGTATCCTCATAGTTGGTTTCGGGCCCAACTGAAGAGGTGGCGTTATTTGCTTTGGCAGCTTGCGCGTTAAGCTTTATCGGTTGCTTGCCAGCTTTTGCTGCTGGCAGCTGTTTCTCTTTTTCTTTGCTTGACTTTTGTAACGGCCCTGTGCTTGCTGTAGTCGATTTCGAAGTTTGCGTCTGCGTCTGCGTCGGAGTCAGCGTTGGCGTCGTCGACGTTGGTCCCCTTAATGGCGCATCTCTTTTGTGTTGGGCTTTCGCTTCTCTCTCCTTTCTGGCCGCTTCGTGTTTGCGCTCGCGCTCACACGTCGGCTGACTTTGCCTCTGTCTTTGACTTAGCCTTGTTGACAGTTCTTCCTCTCTGCTGAGCTGTCGTACGTTTGTCAGTCGGTAGCTGCTGGCAGCATTTTTGGCAGCAGAAGCGGCAGCAGTTCGTATTTGATTTGTTTTCATTTCGACATGCAATTTGGTGCTCATCTGTCGATTTTTCAGATTAGATCGCTAGAAACAATGGGTTTTATTTTTTAACTCTGCACATTTTAATTATTGAGTTTTTTATGTGTGTTTTTGTGCTATTGATGTTGCTTAGTAAACAATGCTTCGAGCGCCTCACCACCGATTGGTGTCGTTCTGCGTCAGGAGACCAACTTTGACAACAGTGGCACCGCTGCCTGTGTTGCAGGACACGAACTGGTTACCTGCGCGCGCTCAACCGAAACGATGCAGGTGCAGATGTAGATGCTATATTCCTGTTATTCATGGCAGGACTTGTTGCAGACTGATATTGTTGAACGATATTACATTTGCATGTACACATTTATGTATGCATTTGATACAGTATACAAATAGCTTGCCAATGTTATAATTCTCAATACTATCCCAACAGAGTAATTGTTTTGACAACTCATACAAATGAATGCGTTTGAATTACAAATGCAGCGCAGGCTACTGCAACGTTTGTGCTTACAGACAAAAGCTGCCTGCGTTGTCAGTCAACAAATTACAAATCGCTATCGAAGCTAAATTAAGCCAAAACGAAATTATTTCAACACAACTGCCTAAAAAGACGGCAGCTCAAAGGTTAATATTTATAAGTACAAATAGAATACACATTTTAATGTTGCATATTTTTTATGCAAATAAATACATTTGAAATACAAACGCAATACAATTTACTTTAACGTTTGTGTTCACAGACAAAAGCTGTATGAGTTGTTAATCGATATATTACATATCGCTATCGATGCCCAAACACAATTCAAACTTAATACGAATTTATTTCAACAGAACTACGAACAAAGAAGGCAGCTAAAATAATAATAAGCTCACATAAGTAAATACATTGCAACTCACACTTTTAACTGCTTTCTTAGCCCGACATAGTAAATGCTTTAACTTGTTAATACAACTTAATAAATTTTGAAATACAAATGCTGCAAATGATACTGTAACGATATGTTCTGTAAAGCAGCCTGCGTTGTCAGAACATATCGCATGTCGCATATCGGCCTGATATCAAGTGCACAGATATCGCCACAGAGTCAAAACAAAGTAAACACGCATTTTCTACAACACAACGAACACTTAAGCAGACTATAATCCATAATGTTAAATTGCTAAATATATACGTGCACTGTTAACTTAACACTGCAGTCCATAAATTGTAATAATTAAACAAAGAAATTATTAAGAAGACTTCTCCAAGGTAAATGTACCCAAAGTTCTTGTGTGCCGTGGCACACTTTTGAATGCTGCTCCTTTGTGACGTGTCTCTATTTAATTTCACAATTTCGCAACTAACATTAAAACGCTCAGTCATCTTCAGCAGCAGCCTCACATCCGCTCACATGTCGCACATAGACAACATTTTCAATCAGGTTCGTGCACGTCTTCAGGCGCACAGCATTAAGCTGTGGGAGGAGCCGTACTACTCCGAAGGCTTGGGCAGCATTGAGGCATCCATTGAAGTGAGTTAATCTACATATGTACATACAACATATACTAGTCAAATTCTATACAGCGCTTGGCTGACGAATTTAGCGAACATCTGGGCATTGACTCCTCGCGCTGCAAGTGCGTGCTCACCGAGTTGCAGGATAATGCTCTGCGCAAGCTGAAGGCACGTCAGGAGTTCAGCGAAACGGGATTGGCCACATTCAAGGTGCGTCGCGTCGACAATCGCAATGGCACAACCAACATAATCGACATCAAGTGTGACCTCAATGAATTGGGCTCCACGTTGCAGCAGGCGATTGCCAGCAAACTGCAGATCGACGATGCCAATCACGTCAAGTGCATCTCCGCGGGCCGCATTATCTCGCCACATGCAACGCTGGCTGCACAGAACCTGAAAAACAATCAGCAACTGATCGTCATCGTTGGCCAATGCGACAATCAAAGCGGCGCCCTTCACGAACGTATCAGCAAGATTAAATCGGATGTTGCGACAGTGGTTGCATCCCAAAACCAGTTAATGGAGGTAGGTGGACTGCGAACTTGAAGTTGGCGACTTTTCCATAGTGAACAATGTGGTGTTCTCCCTCGACAGTAATCGATATTCATAAACAAATAGCAAGATTTTAAAGAAAATAACTCGTCCCTTAGCAATGATGTAGTGATTCGATTTGAGCGGTATATATATACATATATATATTGCCTGCAACATAAGGATTTATTTATTTCAAGATAGCCTTAAAGTACAGGAAAGCAGCCAGTATCACTACTCCATAAGAGTAAAGTATTTTCACATATAAATATAATGATACAATGTGTGTTTGTCTATCGTTTAGATGGAGGATCAGGATGGCAATCCGGTATTTCTGCCGCCTAACGAGAATCGCGCACTTCTTACAGGCATGGGCTACTGTGAGAAGGCACGCGCCGCAATGAATCGTGATAATTATGAGGAGGCGCTGCTGCTGCTGCTCGAAGCGGATGAGCAGTTCAGTGCCTGCGATAGTAAATTCCTTGAGTCTGTGGACAACTATGCCTTGCTCAATTTGGATATTGTGTGGTGCTATCTATGTCTCAAGAATGTCTCACAATTGCCGGATGCCGATCGCCGGTTGAGCATCTGCGATCGCAGCTTTCGGCGCAGCTACGGCGAGAACTACTCGCGTCTGTATGCGCTGAAGGGTCGCGTCTGCCCAGAGCGAGCACTTATTATGCGACTGCATCTGCTTCAAGGTGTTGTGCTGTTCCATCGCAATCTACGTGATGCCGCCTATGAGCGTTTCGAGGCGGCCGCCGCGGTGCTCTCCGAGCTGAAGGTCAACGACGAGCAGCTGCTTCTGCTAGTAGAGATGGGCTTTGAGGTAGGCGAGGCTCGCCTCGCTTTGCGCTCCAGTGCCGGAAACGTGGAGCGTGCGTTGCAGTGGATACAGCAGCGAAAGCAACAGCTCTCCGATGCTCGCAAGCAGTCGAAAGGAGAGCGTGCCATGCATCGACGCTATGCCAAGCAGGCGACCAAGGATAGCGACTGGGTTAATCCCCGTAGCGTTTGTACCCTCACCGAAATGGGCTTTGATCGTCGTCTAGCTACCGAAGCGCTACGACGCACAGAAAACGATGTGCCTCGTGCAGTAAGTGACTCTGGCTGCCACACAAAGCTTAACGTCTTATCTGATCCTAACATTCTTTGCTTAATTCGTCTAGGTGGAACTACTGCAAGAGGGCTCCGCTGAGCTGAGTGCATCGTTACCCAAAGAGAGCAGCGCCGACGCTGTCCAGCTATCTGTACTGTTGCAATTGGGCTTTAAGGAGCCGGCGGCGCGTGCCGCCCTCGAGAGCACGCAAAACAACTTGGAGCAGGCAACCGATTTTCTGCTGAAGGCCATTGAAAGCGAGGAAGAGTTAGTGCAGACTGTCGATCGTGTGACACAGCTGGCTAGCAGCAATGCTATCGGCTTTGATATGGCATCCACTTCACAGGCAAGCGCACCGTCTGGGTCCCTCATAGATGCTGTGCTGAAAAAATCGAAAGCCGAGATCGAGGCATATCAGGCGTACAAGCGTTTGCACGCCGATCTGACGCACGGTGATCAGGACTATTTGAATTTGCCGCTGCTGCAGGAGGAGCAGCTGCTCGCCGAGTATCGTAATCTGCTCGAGCAGTAAACGGCAGTTGACTGCTGCAGCTGCTTGTTGCTAGTGTTTAAGTCATTGGATTTAATTATATTTGTTACGGCGGCTACAACACGCCATATAAAAACCTGTTTATCTTTTGTAGATAACTGTAATCATGGCTTGTGTATTGTAAATCGGTGACTTATAATAACACTTAAGTGCCTTTCGTCTCACTACTTCAAATCCCCGCCAGTTGTCAGTTGCCAGTTTCCCATACTCGTGCCCATCGTCCGCAGATCAGTCAACTGAGCAATCGTGCATGTATGATCGACTTGGCAAATAGTCTCATAGGTGTACATACAATAGTATCTATATGTGGACTGTAAATGTAATTGGCTGCAACTCATTCCCAACCCTCATTCCACTGAACTGCTCGTGTGTGTGTGTGTGTGTTGTCACAAAACTTATTAGCGTCTTATGTCAATTTGATTTGATTTGATCATGCTTGTGTTTTAATTGCGCTGGAAGGATGTCATTTACAAGCGCCGGAGAACAATGCGTAGTTCTACAGTCACACGAGCACACAATAAATCCAATTAGCCCAGAGCCGATAAAGAGCAAGCACGCCGACAAGGTTAAGAAACTCCAAATGGATAAATTCTGCGATAAATTCAAATCCAAGTCTATTATCTCCAGCGCTAGTGTTAAAAATAAGTCATCATCAGGGTAGAGTGATGCCGAAAATATGCCTCTGAGTAAAGATGATGGACGATCAAATCGAAAACATGCAGGAACGACAAAGATAAACGAAACACATGATCGCCCATCCATCTCAGTAGGTAGTCACAATGCCAAAGATTCCTCGAACACGGAACACACATCACGCGATCGTCCGATCAAGTTTTCAAAAAGGCCCTCATCGAAAGCTTGATAAACCTCTGATAAACCAAAGCCCTATGGAATTAAAAGATGTGAAATGCTCGATGGAGTAGCTCGCTTAAGTCTGAATACCATTGAAAAGCTCAAGGACATGCTTAACATACCCGAGCCGCATGTAGTGGAAACCCTTCTGCTTAAGGATATGAATGAGGCAGTTGTCGTGGACAAGGGCCGTGAGCACAAGTTCCAAGCCACGAGCTATTCGGAAAAATTATCACACTGGCAGAAATCTGCAATCTTACAGGCTGGGCTGGATAAAAATGCTACGGTATTAAATGCTGCTAAAGAACACCTGTTCTGATTTCCATGAGTGGCAAAATGTGATATTTTCTGATGAGATAAGATTTAATTTCGATGGTCTACACGGTTTAAATTATTACTCGCACGATTCAAACAAGTCTGAGAGATATTTTCCCGCTCCAAGTAGTGGTGGTGGTTCACTCATGATCTGGGCTAACAGAACTAACAGAACAAAACTTTATGGAACATCAACCAGACCAAAATGCCTTATTCCAGCAGGATTATGCACCAATATTATTTCGAGATAAGAATTTAAACTTTTAGAGTGGCCAGGAATATCATCCGACCTGAATCCCACAAGTGAAACAAGTGCCTTTAATCGCATTTCGCGGAGTGTATATACATATATAAATTTATCGCAATTATTTAATAATTATTTAGCCAGTTGTAAATTTGCTGAGCTGGCTGACCTTGACGGGTAAGAGGTGCTTCACACTTCACTTCATTTAAACTTAATTGAAAATCGTCCTCACATTTTACAGGTTTTGCAGCCTGACAGCTATTCTAATTCTAATTTTTTATACCTCCAGCTGTCAAACAGCTAAGCTGCCTGACCTTGTGACGGACAAAAGGTGCTTTACTTAATTTAATTGTAATTTAGCTGAATACTGTCCTCACATTTTGCAGGTTTTGTTGTTTGACAAACGCTTTTTTTAAAATCTTATTCAAATATATTCAGCTTTTCGAACTTTCAAATCCATTTGTCTTGTTTTTTCTTTCAATGAGGTATGTTAGGATAATTAAACAATCGATTGAATTACTGGTCATATGTATGTCAACTTCTGCTAATTCTGTTTTGTTGTACTTGTTTTATGTACGCAAAAAATTACATCACCTAGATAATGGTCAACGAAGCGAAGCCCTGATATTTATTTGGAAAAAGCGATTCTCCTGCCTCTAAATACCTAAAATGCTGCAATTAAATTATTAAATTAAAACAACAATCATATTCATATATAAGCATGACAATGTATGTAACATATATACGATTAAATTACGCATTGAATTTTATTTTTTTATACATACATATATTTATTAAAAGACCTTATTGCATCAAAGTAATTTCAGCTTTCTAGCTGTTACGGCCTCGGATAAAAGCTAGAGAGCTGAAATTGCGCATTTGTTTCAGTCTTAAGATGTCAGTGATCAAGGAATTTATTAAAATTCTTTCCACTGCCTCGGTAAATGAAAAGCACAACTATGTTGTTTTTCTCTTATTAGATTAACACGTTCTCAGGGAGCATGAAAAAATATATAGATCAACTCTGCTATTAATTCTGATCACTCAAATTCTTAATATTATCTTTTGTCTATTATATGAAGATTGGTTTAGAACACTTGTTTCTAAATGCTCCCTGGCCGTATTTGTTGACTTAAGTAAACCTTCAACCTGCATAAACTTTAAAATTACTTTCCCAGATTTAGAATGGGCACGTTTCTACGTTTTTTCTGTGGAATAACTTAAATTGCTGATTGGTATCGTTTAACGCGTTTAGTTTTATTAAATAATTATAAGTGTAGGCAGTAATTTATATACCCTTTAACATTTACTCTAATTATAGATGGAAGGGGTATAATAAATATGCATCAACTACCGTATAATATAGGGGTAATAAATTTACTATTGATCAGCATCAATAGTCGATTTCCTGTGCACACACATTAATTTCTAATTAAGATCAAAGATAAACAGCAAAAACAACAACAAAAAAACGTTTAACGGTTCGAACCAGTGTCTTAGCTCTGGGTTCGGTTTGTGAATTTGATTTTTGGTTGTCTCAAGCTAAAGTTATAGTTGATAGTTGCGAAGAGACTGAGAATTTATTTTAGGACGGACTACAGGCTATCTGCGGGTCGATCACTTCCACTTGCGTTTGCTTTGTTGTGGCTTTAATATTCCAATCTTTTTCATACTTTTTTTAATGACTTTGACAATTATGCGCAACTGATACGCAGCGAAGCACAACTTTTGCCATGTTATTTTGTTCAGAATGGTTCTACTTTTGATTTCTGGTACGAAGGGCAATTGTTTATCCGGCCCGAGTCCAACTGGGATTTTTCCTATTGCCATTTTTAGCAATTAATAATTATTGTTTTTATAAAAATTAGACAAACAAAAAACTTTTCGACATTAGCTGCCATAATACCGTGGTTGTAATTATAAAGTTGGGTTTGCCCCAACCCATTCCTTGCAAAATATAACTTACAAGACCCCCAATTGATGATGGTGCTGATTGGGGACTTTGTCAAATCCCACTTCAATCCGCAACAAGCAAAATAATGTTAATTATATTGAAGTATTTGTATGTTGATGACTAAATACAAAAATACATAATAACTACACATTAGTTGAATTTGGACAGCGGCAAATTTTTATAATTTTAAATGTCTCTGGTGCTTGAAAACTTGTATTTCACACTCAGTGAGCATAAAATTTAAAATTAATTTTTGAACGTTTGTTATTCTATATTTACTGGCCGGTCTATTGGCGTTAGCAGGAATCGTAGACTGGATAGTAGGCATTTAAATTCTTATGAAATACTCTGCTTCCCCTGTAAAACGAGTATCCAGTTATCCTTCGTTTGCCTTCATTCAGATTGATGTCAGAATTTGTCACCAGTCACCAGTCCTCTGTTCTGCTAATGCTTCTTGCCGGACTCAGTCTGACTTTGAAGTAATTGGCTTATTTATCGAAGAGGTCCTGGTAAACATTGCAGCAATTATACGCCATAGATAACAAAGACACCTCCCTACTATAAAAAAAACCTGTCTCTGAGAGACTTTGACCTCGAGGCTTTCAAGAGGAAAGACGGATAATGTTGTGTGGGATGTTACAACTTCAATTGTCCTCATTACGTCAGCTTGTTGCAATACAAATACATACATACATTCAAAGGTGTGAGGAATGTGTATTTCAAATCTTAATTGATATCGATAAGCAATTGGTAAAACAATTGTCTGTTTCTGCAATGATAGCGAATGTTGAGGTGATTTAGTGGATATTAAATATTGAATGAGTTTTGGTTTTTAAAACTAAGGACTCATAGCTTGAAGTATATACTCTCTTAGAGAGTGTAAGAGTGTGTCAGGCAAAGTGTTTCGGTAAAATCGTCTGAGCTGTTAAGGATAAAGTCACTGAATATGAAAGTTAGAACGCTGCCAACCTTTTTTATGGCCACTTTGATATTAGAGTGTTAGGCAGTCGGTGATGTGCGATTGCAGTGTTTTCCATTTTTTGCTATTTAATTTACGTAAGTTACCATACTTGAATTGCAATGAAAAAATGTTTTATTTTTTTATTGGCTTAAAACATTAATAAATTTGTTTTGCCTGTTTTGCAGCTGTTTTGTAATAGTAGTTAGCTGTTTCTCTACTTTTGTACAATTTGGTTTTTAAAAAATAAACGGAAATCATATATCTTTATAAATACATATGAAGATATTTAAACTAATTTAAACTGACTGAGAAGCGGCGATTGGTGATTGAAAACCAATGCTGAACCCAATTTGCAGAGCAGTTTAGGGATCGTTGTTGAAACTTATTTAACATGTAAATCCTTTTCGGAATAGATAGATGGCCAATTAAATCCAGGGAATGTCATTGAATTAGAAGCAATGTCAAATTGATAAAGATCGCTTATGCCATAGTCAAATTAAGTTCCAAGTCATTAACGTTTAGGTACAATACGCCTGACTAGCGCTTCCCGCTAAACGATGACTTTTAGTTTATTAAAATTGTTTGGTTATTCTGTTTGAAGGGGGCAGGGGGGAGTGGCGGGATGGAGTTAAATAAATATAGAAATACGACTAAGTATGTACGGCTGTGTGTGTGTTTGTGTCGAATCAGCGTGAAGAATCATAATATCATATATTATGCGGCAATAGAACGGCTTAAATATATGACATGTACGAAGAGGAAATTGTAGTGCAATTAAAGCTAATGCTATACGACATCTCAATTACCGGCGATGCGAATAACTTTGGTGTTTTCCTAATATTGTTTTTGGTTTTTTGGGCCTGAACTCTGGGTCCACGTATATACATATGTACACATATCTATGAATGGGTAGAGAAGCTGCACGCAACATGTACAGTTAGAACAAATTACGGAAGAATTTGGCAATAGCGCGAGGAGAATGGGGGAGAGGGATGAGGAGCCGATCGAATTATTAAGCGACTACGATCCGAAACATTGCGTTGCGGCATCGATGGGACTGGGACTGGGCCAGGTGAGCAGTGGCAGTTGATGTGGCTGTGGCTGTCGCTGTTGTTGTTGCTGTTTGCTGTTGCCGTGCTGTTAGCCGATCGTCGTTGAAATCGTTGTTGAATCGTCGCGGCGCCGCAGCAGCGGAATTAAATAATTTCCGTAAGCGCGCTTTGTGAAGCTCAGTTCAATTGCGGCAAGCGTTGTCAACGGACGTCTATCTACAGTCACTGCGCATTTTTCAAAATTGCAACTACCACACGACGCGACCGTTTAAGAAGAAGCTGAAAAACAAACAGATGAAGTAGGAGCGGTAGCAGCAGACGCCGAAGGAGAAGACACATCAGCTGGATTACAGCAGCAAGAAGTGAACAACAACAGTAAAGAATAATCACAAGAAAACAACAAGTGAAAAACTTAAGTTCGTGTGCCTGTGTGTGTGTGTGTGTGTGTGAGTGTGTGAAGTAACAACAGAAGCGATCACAACAAAACTCGACACACTGAAAGTAAAACTTGTCGTCGCTCTCTCAAGCCGAAAAGCGAAAACCAATACCCGAAATACGAATATACCATTAACAACAAAAATTGAAAAAAGAGAGAAAACAAATATAAAAAAGAAGAAAAAAATAAGAAAGAAAAATAAATAAAGAAACGAACGAGTCGTGGCTTATTTTTTATTTTATTTTTGTTTCTGTTTCATTTGCTGTGTTTTTGTGTTGTATGCGCTTGTGCAAAGGCGAAGAGGAGAGACGAAATCGAAGCGACTTCTTTGGAGCAGCAAGTGCAGCGAGGTTAGTCAGTCAACTCAATTCAATTGCACCTATTTTGCCTTATTAATTACTAGCGCATACAAAATTTGGTAACACCTAGTTACCAAAAATAAACAATAAACGTCAACAATGTAAATGTAGTTGGTGGAGCAGAGAGAGACGTAAAATGCCCACGTTGCAGAGACGAATCTTTGATTAGAAGCTTTGCATAAAGATCGTCCGTCCACATGTCCTCAGCTCGACAACTGTATTAAATCGCCAACTCTCGCGACTCACTGCTATCTACTCACTTTCTGCTGATTTTGTTGTTACTAGTTTCTTGGCACGCTGCACTAACTGCAGTTGTTGTTGTTGTTGTTTTTGGTATTATTTTTATTGCCATTGTTCGGCAATTGAGTTGTTGGCTTATTATTCCATCCGTGAAGGGCCGTTCGTCAGAGTTGGCAACAATTGAAATCGTTCACGAAAAAAACAAAAAACAAAAACAGCAAATTTACAACAACAGACAAAAGTGAAAACTAATCGAATAGTGCCCAAATAGCGAATCACTTCAGTTGCTTTTTAATCAAATCTAAAAAGTTGAAAACAAAAGCTTCTCAGTTGTATATATAAGCTATATATACATACATACTGTATATGTATATGTATATGTATATATATATATATGTGCTTGTGAGAATTTATATATATATATCTACGTATACCTATAATCGACTAACTTAGTACTTCAATTGTACATTCAAATTATTCGCACTTTTAACTAGAATTCAATCCAAAGTGCTACTTCAAAAAAGATATACAAATTCTATAAATTAGTACTTCAAAATGCAAATGTTTATTTTTTATAGCTCTCTAGTTAAAAGTGTAAATAGTTTGGATTTAAAATTAAACTGGCTGACAATGTACTTATGTATGTGATGCGGCCTATATATATATCTGCTTATATATTCGAATATATATATATATATATACATTGTAAAATATACGCTCCGCTACGTGCCAAAAAAATCTCTTTAACGCTACTGAATTCTTTTCAGAGTTTTTCGAAGGAATTTCTTTTGTAATATATATATTTTAATTACAATTATACAAGTGCGTAGGTCTGTATGCAAATTATGGCTTGCACTTGATTACTGCTTCAGTACATTTTTAACCGGTTAAAGCTCGGACTCGTATAGAGTACCTGAAATCAACTCGACGCGTCGGTCTACATATATAATTTGATCAACAAGTCTAACGATTTTTTTTTTAAATATGTCATTGACTTATAATCAGTTATAATAATTGACATCCTAACCAGTTTTTAGCTACTTTGGACCAGGCTTAAGGGCTGAAATGCGCATTAAATGTGCATATAGACAATTACCTACACATATATTGAATATATTTTACATCGATTTTTAAAGGAGGTTATCATATACAATCCAACACGCTTGTAAAAGTGAAACATGTTGAATAATTGTCAACTTTTAAAATATATTTATTTTATATTTTTATTAAAAAAGTTCGATATTCTCGTCAGTGTGATAAACCATCTAAATGCAACTCTGTAAATTCTAATTCTGGTTTCGTTTCATTTCTGATTCTTGTGTTTCAACACAAAATATGGAAATAGCACTTAATATTTTGTATCTTTGGCATATTTCAAGTATTCTCAGCTAAACAACAACAGCATCAGCAACAGTAGCCCTCGTGTAGCAGACAGATGCTTGTTTACATTTGAAGGTAGTCGGACTTAATTGCATTGCAAGTGTTGCACGTTGACCTTGCAAGTTGCTGAGCGGGCTAAAAGCAGAGAATAAAAAATAAAATCTCGCCAGCATTTCCTATGCACTCAGTTTCAAGTTTATAAATAAATAAATGCGATAAATGTTCGATAAGGCCATGGCCAACAATTCTTGCCAACTCAAGCTCGTGTTTGCGGCAACATCGTTTAATTGTTGGGTGTCAAAGCGGTGCTGCAAGCAGACAACTACTGTTCATATATACAATTTATACGCAGATCGGTGTCCGGAATCTGTTGAATCAGTAAGTCAACAAAGTCACACTTTGAGAGTTCAGAGTTAAATACATACATACCTAAATACATACATACATACATATATATGTACATACATATGTGTGTATATTGGCAGTGGCAGCCATGTAAATTTAAGTGGGCATAATCAAAATAAAAAACATTTTATTATGAAGCAAAACTCGCTTGTGCGAGAAGGGGGCCGGTTGGCTTGCTAATTCCCAATGACTACATAAATTAAACAATATTAATTTGTTTTTTTTTTTTTTTTTTGTTTTTTCTTTACACTTGCATTATCCAGTTGCGGCTTTGCACCCTGGCTGCGTAGTACCTTTGAGTGTATTGCTTAAAGTTTATTGAGAAAAAATAAATAAATACAGCATTTGCTTGAGTATATAAGTTTTTGAACTCCATGCTATATATATATATATATATATATCTGAGATATAAGTCTGAGAGATATTTCCCCACTCCAAGCTGTGGTGGTGGTTCACTCATGATCTGGGCAGCATTCAGTTACAACAAAAGGACAGTTGAGTAGCTACGAAAGGCTGTCGTTAAGGAATGGTCTCAAATTGCACTACCTGCCTTCCAAAAAGTTATTGAATCGATGCCAAATCTACTTTTTGAAGTTACAAACAAATCTATGCCATTTTTATATATTATTTCGCACTTTAACTTCAAATTAGAAAATAAAATTAAATAAAGTTGTCTGTTAAAGTTACCAATTTAATTAATTTTTTATTTGACATATATTTAGAATAGCTAAAAGGTTAAATATTTTATTTTAAATTTTATAAGGGAAAAAAGACGAGTGCCTTCAATCGAATTTGGCAGAGTGTATATATACATTGAGGTATCGGCAACTATGTATTTTTAATGCAAACTTTGACCCGTATTTGCGCTAATTGCAGCTTACATTTCTCACAAATGTGCTAATTGAAAAGCTACTGTAAAACTGTCTGATTCTTATACTCGGGTTAATCAAACTGTTTTATTTATACAGATGACGGCTAAGTCGCCATAATCAGCAGAACTGACATTGAGCGGCGATTTTCCAAATGATCATTTGCTTTTATTTATGTTTGATTTTGATTTATCGCACGGACTACTTCAGAATTACTGTCGTTTTCGATGTTTTTGCATCGTCAACTGTAACCTGATTTTACTTTTAAATGTTTTTTTTTTTTCATTTTAGCTGGGTAGTTGTTGCTTTATTCCTCAGCTGCAGCTGGGGGGCGGCTAATTGCAAATTGTCTAAGCCGGCAGCCCCAAGGTGTTCAGCTTGTACTAATCTTAATTTGTGCAGCTTCACTTGGAGGCATTTTTTTAACATCCATTTGAACATCCCTCCTGGCGATACTTCGAAGCGTTGTTGTAGTTGCGAAATACTCTGTTTTCAGTTAGATTTGACTATAGAGTGGCATGATGAACTTTGAAAATTGTTTGTGCTTTCCGTGTACTGAAATTTAATTGAATTCAGTAAAAAAAAGGGCTCAGGGGCACAGAATAAACATGATGCACTTTTTAGTAAATTTGACGCCTCTATGTGTTGTCTGATTAGTGATACAGATGTAAGCGCTTATCAGGCAAATGACGAATATAAAGAATCGGAATTTGTAAATGAGGTGATGGAAGCAGAATTACGCATTTTCAAAACTTACCAATATATTCTTGATCCGAAACAACAGCCAAGTCAATTAGCTGCTCAGCATAGTATTGATGATCTGTTCATCTGATGAAGTTTCATTAATCTCTGTTTACAAACAGAAATAAGTTTCTACTAGTTAACCTTTGTCGACTACTTGTTTTGTGTTGCTTCGCTTAGTGTACATGACTAATTAAGCACCTAACTCATCTAATCATTAAATGAGTAATGCAATGAAAAATTAGCCGACTAGCAAAAAGTCTTTTATTGAACTTGGTGCATTTGATATACAAAGACTCTCCTTATAGGGGTGATCTGTGACTTATCACTGCTTTTATTTACTGCTTTTCTAATGTGTCATTTCATATTCAAGTAATTTTGACATCTAGTCTTGTTGCTCGGATTGCAAATCCGGTTGATCTCGTTGTTTTTCCGCGGAGTCAAGGAAAGGGAGCAGTTTCCGAATACGGTGGCACAATGGTCTGAGTGAGTTGGCTTCATTGGCCAACATCCGTGTAATCTAGCCAAATCTATTGTTGGTTGTGGCATTCGCCGATGTGAATGCACTGCACAAAACTAGCGTATAGTTCGAGCCGACAACTCTCTTTGTCTGGGTCTTTGTACGTGCCTGGCCTGGCTAATTGCAGGTGTGATCTTTCGCACAGATATGTATGCACATACGTATGTATAATGGTTTATATACAATGGTTTATGATGAATTCGGGCTGCGCTTCTTCCGTATGCAAATTGTGCTGTGCAAAGTGCGTGTTGTGGGAGGGCTTGCGGTTGGGTTGAGGTGTGGTTGGCCACTGCAAATAAATAATATTCTCACTAATGTGTTAATTATAGCAATCGCAATTGTTTTCTGCTTGTTGTAGGCTCTGCTGTTTGACTAGCCTGTGAGTTATGTGCACATATGTATTATTATTATGTACACCACTTGCATTTTAACATTTGGCTCACTTCGGCATTCTCTTCTGATGGGTACACATTGCACAAAAAAACAAAAAACAAAATCAAACTCTAAATTCTTATCTGTGTTTTTCTGACTCTCTGGCTTATGCCACTTAATTTTAATTGCCTCGTAAGTGCATTTTAATTGGAATTATCAGTGGGAATCTTACTTAGAGTCGCAGTAGTTCAAATAGCTTCCGACTGATAGTGGAGTCAACTGGCACAGTTTCTCACATAGAATAAACATCAGCTTAAAGCAGCATTTATTGCCACTAAACGAGTCTATTCATATACGTAGTCGGGCCAAGTAGATCGTCAGCCATCTCATTAATAGATCAATGAAATGCATAACAGTGTCATAATAATGTCATTAGCTACTTGAGTCGCTTGAATGAGAGCAACAGCTCTCATCTGAGTTGCACACACACCAATGCACTCAATGTGCGATTTGAATGATTGATAAACTGGTTCAGAGATTGTCAGACACAAGTCATATTGACTGGCACAACATGGACCGAGTTATGAAGCTATGAATTATTATGAATATTGCATAGCAATATAATAAGCCATATATGTATACGAGTTAACATAACATCTGAACTATCCATCCCTCCTGAGCTAGTAAGATCCATTCGTAGACGCTCAAGATATATATCTTTTAAGGGGACTCCCAATAGATAACCTTTGATAACGTGCTGTGTTGTTCGTAGAAGATCTCAAGTCTAGGTACCAATTATAATAATACAATGAATACAATAACAAAGACTTGTAATTAAGACTAGTTTCTGATTCAGATATCGCAAGTTTTTATATATTTTTAGTCGTGATACGTATTTGATTTATTCTTTAGATTGGCATTGGCTTCATCACGTACGTAGTTCTTTTTTTCTGGAGTTCTGAAACTTTTGCTTATTCGAATACTTGCAAAACCTCACAAGACACAGCCAGATTATCTCAAATAGTTGATACCATTATCAAATTACGCATATCCACTGATGAAATTGGCTGTGAAGTGTAAGAAGGGAAAGATCACTCATTTAACCTTTGTATTCTGCGGCTGTGAAACGCCTTTTGTAATACTAATTAAAATAAAACCGCTGAAGAAAAAATTCCCAACCAGTTGAAATAAAAAGTCACAAGTCATGCTTTGCTTACAAAACCTAACTGGTTTTTGCGCTCACATTGAAGTCTATGGAAACCTTTCGCATTGTTCTGGCAAAAATTAAGTGCTATTAGCCATGTGGCTTACGAATGAGCGCATCATTAAAAGAACCGGCCACCAGAGTCTCGAACTGAATACATTTGAAAATGTCAAATAGAATTATTGAGTGTTCAAGGTGAACTGCAAACAGTTCACAAGTCGAATTAGCGGATATGATTTAATAAAGCAATGAAACATATACATAAATAAATATATATATATATGTATATATATATATATATATATATATATATATATATATATATATATATATATATATATATATATTCTGATAATGCACATTGAGGAAGTCAACCACTTTGGCGCAGTGTTAAGTCCAAGTTTAAGCCGACAAATCCGTGACATTATTCGTATTCTCGCTGTCGTGCGTGGCGTGTCGAAGCGATAAGGCATCCAAACATGGCCAATAAACAAAATCTAACGTTTCACACGTCAAGCGTCATTTTCGCAAATACTTGAAAAATCTATTAACGTCTACCTTTTTGCTGGGGCCAACGAATTGAGTCTGTGCCGACCTGCACATCAACAGCCACAGGGGCCCAGTTGGCATTTAACTGGCCCAATAGCAATAGTAATTTTATGACGTTTTGTTGTGGCGCCTCTTCTTACCAGTTTTAACTACTTAACGCTCTACGTCAACGCTCTGTTAACAACTTATGCGTTTCTGAACCGGCCTTTATGATTTTTGACAGTTGATCGATATGGTGCCGGGAGGAATTCTATTTAAATAAAGCCTTAATTTTAATCACATTTTTCTTTATTGACTGACTTTGAAAATGTATTCTATGTACGTTCTGTATTTAATTGCACAAATTACAAACCCGCTATCTATTTTATTTTCAAAAACCATCAGTCATCAATCACTTAGCCTCATTAAATGCATTTTAAATTCATTTTATGTGCACGAGGGAAATCACAATCCTTGATGGAAGTAAAAATACTTGTATTGCTACATATGCACATTACTCTTTGTAGTAGGCAGCAAGTTGATTTATTGCACATAAAACAAATTTAAAATCAGCATCAAAAACAAAATGACCACTAACGCAAAATTTTAATTAAATTTGCTTAATTTTTGAAATGGACTTCGACCAGTTTTAACCGGTCACATGAGTGAACAAGTTCGCTTTTGCAACCGAATGTAAACGACTTTGTAATTGTTTTTATCTCAAAGTATAAAAAGCGCATCTAATTTCAGAATTTAAAGCTTAGGTCTAGATAGATTTAAATATGTATATAAATGCGAGAACATCTTATGCCTTGCAGGGAAAATAAATAGCTGCAAAATGTGCCAATGATTTAGTGCGCCGTCGAATCAACAGAGCGTAACTGAGGAAACCTCAAACTGCAGTTTGTTGCAAGTTGCCACTGCAACAATGTCGTTCCGGAAGAGTGAAGTGAGGGCCCTATTGCGCAAAGATGTGCTTGTGCGCTGGCGCCAGAAGGGTTTGGCATTGACGCAGATCCTCTTCCCCGTGCTGATCTTCATGATGCTCTATCTTATACGGCTCAAGTATGGATCCGAATCGTTGGATGCCTGTCAGTTCCCCACACGTCTGCTGCCCACCAAGAATCAGGTAGTGCCCAGCTCCTTCTCCTATATCTGTAGCATAGAGAACAAGTGCCTGTGCACCGATCCCTACGAAGAGTACTCCAAATGGGAGGCAGCACCGTAAGTCTAACTGCCGTAACTGGATATCAGATTGCGTATCTAATGTGAACTAATCATAATCATCTTTGGTTTACAGCTTGCATAACGTGATCGATGTCGCAAACGTTTTTGTAACCGATGATCGTCTGTACAATGCGGTCTTGGAACTGCCGGAGAAGGCGAACTTTGTGGGCGCGGTGACCACGTTGGTCACCAGTAAATATTTTGATCTCATTCGCAGTGAGTAGTGGTCTTCAGCTATGCCCAGCATGACTAGTCCGCAATTAATATTCGGTGTTCCACAGACAACATAGGCGAAATTATTTCACTGGTTCCTGAAATTGAACGCCTGATGAACTATAGTTTTGATATCTCAAAACTGTTTTCAAGTAAGTTGACCTTTGCTCTTGTGCTGCTTATCAAAGTCAACCGCAAATTGCTCTCTTTTGTAGATCGGGAGACGTTCGTTAAACTGGGCGTGTTGCTGTGCGGACATCCCTTCCCGAGCACGGAGAGCATACCTTTGGTCAACGACATTCTCTACTCCGAAGATTTTAGCGAGATCAACGACGATGAGCTGCAGGCCATGCCGAGTAAGCACCTCCCAATTATTGTTTCAGCTCGTTTCACGCTAACGTGTTTTTCTTTCTTATAGCCAAGTACTGCAAGCGTTTATATTTGGATGTTACCTCGACGAACCAGGGCAAGCTCACTTGGAATTTCGTCAAGCCAATTATACAGGGCAAAATTCTGTATACGCCATCCAATGCGGATACTGACAGCATTGTTAAGTTTGTAAGAGTTTGCCGCGCATTAATTGATCAATAGATCTGCTCACTATTGTTTATTTTGTGTTTCTTGTCTAGACCAATGGCACCTTTGAGGAGATGGATCGGCTGAAGAAATTATCTAAAGCTACTGCCGCTGTACTTGGCAAGCTACGCACGAATGCCACCTTCCAGGATGCGTTTGAGAATCTGCTGAAGCTGGCACGTTCGCCGCTGGTGAAGAGTCTCGTTGGCGATGACTTTGATATTGAAGAGATTGAGCGCATAATGAACTATGTTCGTAGCAATAAGCTCATATACGAGGTTTTCAGTACCATCAGCGATCTGCTGGAATGCCTCTCTGTGGATCGCTTTATACCGGTAGAGAATGTGGAGCAGCTGCAGCATCGCGCCTTCAAGCTGAACCAGCAGCGTCTCTTCATGGCCGCTTTAAACTTTGAGAGCGTGGCGGGTGAGCATATTACCTACAGACTGCACATGGACACGGATAATACGCAGCCCACTTTCGAGAATAAGAATCGGTTCTGGTTTCCGGGGCCAGCGGGCAGTATGCTGGTAGATCTCAAGTATCATCGCGGCTTTGTACAGCTTATGCAGATGGTTGATCTGGGCATCATTAAGCATAAGCGTCAAGAGCTGGGTCCCGTCGAGGAGCCCGAATCGGATCGATCAACACGCCCCTTGATCAGCGTACAGCGCGTGGACGATGAAGATGATCTCTTTGATGAGGAGGATGACTTTGATCAAGATCTGAATAGCAGTGTCGAGGGGACGACATTCCCTCCAGAGGATACAACTCTCAGTGAACAGGATGCGGAGACAACCACAGAACAGGAGACTACCCCAGCACAGGAGACTATCCCAGCACAGGAATCTACTATATCTACCATAAGACCTGAACTACACAGCAACAGCGAGATGGATGAACCCGGCGAGCGCGTGCGACGCCAAGAACTCTTTGATCTGCAGAAGGCGTCGGATACTCGGGAGAGTGGAGCTCGCTTTAAGCGGCAGGGTCTCTTGGATCTGCTGAGCAGCTTTGGTAGCGGCAGTGATGATTCGGAGGGCATGAAATTTAATGTGGATGATATGCAATTCTATACCAAGCAATTTCCCTATCCCGCCTATGTCAGTGATGAGTAAGTTTACCAGAGTTTAATATAGACTGGCCATTTTATTAGATAATCCTTACAGCTTCAAGCGTGGTCTCTACCTAGCCCAAGCCGTTCAGGTGGCATACTGTGTGGGCCTGGTCATAGCCGTCGCCATATGTGTGCGGGAGCGTATCTGGATGCGTGAAAGCCGCAATAGCATGGTGAGTTCATCAAAGGTCTCATCCAAGTTGCTATCGGCATCGTCTAATGCTATGCCCACACAAATCTTTCAGCTGATGCGCTCTATGGGCTTGCATGCACACTCAGAACTGGTTGCCTGGATTCTGATGAGCTTCATGGAACTCTTGGTCATCTTTGTACTGATCAGCATTGTCCTCTACTCTGGCGGTATTCTTGCCTTTACCAACTGGTTCTTTATGATGTTCTATTGCCTGGTGTTTGGCGCGTGTCTGATATCGTTTTGGTAAGGTCTTTTCGGGGATTCAGGGATTGCTTGTCGCTTGCAGTTTATCTAACTTTTTGAATTCTACAGCTACATGTGCTCGAACTTCTTTATTTCGGCCAACATTGGTGCTGTCGCCACATCGTTGCTTTTCTTTATCACACTCTGTCCGTATATCATAGTGCTGCTCTTTGATGCCAAGCTCAATTTGCTGCAGAACTTCTTGGTTGATCTCTCCTTTACGACGGCCTTTGCTAAGGGTTGGAGCGAACTAATGCGCATGGAGCTGCAGGAACAGGGCCTGACACTTGGCCAATTGTTCCACCTGGGACCGGCTGGCAGCGAGTGCGCTCTGGCCTTCCTCATGTTCATACTCGACACTATGCTATATGCGGCCATTGGCTTTGGCTATCAGCGCTATAAGAAGAGTGAGTCCACTTATCTGGTAATCGAATCGAACCGATTTGAATTTAATCGGATTTATTTTTTGCCAGATAACTATAGCTTTGTGCGGGTAACTCGCGCTCAGCTGGATGCCAAGCTTGGCGCCTCGCTGAGCAGCGTGACCAAGATGTATGGCAACAAGTATGCTATCTCGAATCTCAGTGTGGATTTTGCACGCAACCAGGTAAGCTGCCTGCTTGGACGCAACGGTGCCGGCAAGAGCACACTGATTAAGCTGCTCACGGGCCAGACGGTGCAGACAACCGGCCAGGTGTTCCTCGCCGGTGAGCACAATGTGGGTGTCTGCTGGCAGGACAATATTCTAATACCCAAACTGACTGCCCGCGAACATCTGGAGCTCTATGCTCAGCTCAAGCTGGATCCGTCGAATAGTCGCGAGCAGGCGAATGCTGCGAATGAGGTGCGTCAAACTCTGGATAGCCTCAACTTTGGCAAGCATGAGAACTACTATGCCTATCAGTTATCCGGCGGCTACAGGCGGCGGCTGTGTGTGGCCCTTGCCTTCATTGCCTCGCCAAGCGTTGTTATTCTCGACGAGCCGTGCAATGGGGTGGATGCCAAGGCGCGCAAGGATATATGGCATCTGATCGAGCAACTGCGTCAGGGACGCGCCGTCATCTTTGCCACACACTTCCTCGACGAGGCAAAGTACCTCAGCGATGCACTCTTCATCATGCGCAATGTAAGTTCTGATTTGATTTACCTTGGGTTACTTCAATTTCTTAAATTTTATCTTCATCTTCATCACAGGGTCGCATTGTGGGCCAGCACAGCCGTGAATCACTGCATCGCCTTTGCACCTCAGATTACAGCATCGAGATGCACTGTATGGATGCAAATGCATCCGCTACCATTGTGCAGCAAGCACAGCAACTGCTAAGCAACAGCCATTCGTTGGCCGGCAAGCAGCCAGGCGATTTGATCATTAGCGCCAGCTACGCCGAAAATCTGACGCCTAGTGCGGTGCAGTTTCTGGAGCTGTTACAGACGCAGGAGACAGCTGGCATCATAAGTGACTTGGCACTTAGTAGCTCTAGTAGCCTGGAGCAGGAATTCGAGCAGCTGAATAGCAGCGTGAACGCATCACTCAATCTGCAAGGGGCGACGAACACGTCAAGCATTGTCACTGGACCCGCGGATGTGACAGATGAGCCACCTTCTTTCGGGACCCAGTTCTCGCTGTTGTTGGGCAAACGGCGACGCCATCTGATGCGCAACTATCGCCTGCTGCTATACGTGCTGCTGCTGCCAGCTATTTTCGAGGTATGCGCCATGTGGTTTGTCAGCTACCGCCTGGAGGATGACTTTGACACCGTGCTCCCCCTTAGTCGAGATCTCTATCCGCACACTGCACAAATGTTGAGCCAGGAGCGGCTGACGCGCTTCACGGACCACCTCTATGACAATCTGATGACGGACTGCGACAAGGATTTCGGATGCAGTGAGTTTAATAGCTCGCGGCACGCCTTCTACTGGATGCTTAACAGTTTGGACGAGTATCGGGGTCGCCGCTATGGCGGCTATGGTCTCAATGGCACCGGCGCCACTGTCTGGTATAACAACAAAGGCTACCATGCCATGGTTGCGTGGCTCAATGATTTGAACACTCATCTACTGCGCACATCGCTCAATAGCACGGACTACGACATTCGAGCGTTGAATGAGCCCTGGAAACTGGGCTATGCCGAGCTGAGCACTAGCTCAGTGCTGCGTCAGGCTGGTGATTCCTGCATGGTCTTCATACTGTTGATCGCATTTGGTCTGGTTGTCGCTGCCGGCTCCGTTTATCTGGTCAACGAGCGCATCAATGGTGAGAAGCTGCAGCAGCGCCTAAGCGGTGTCAGCGCTGCCACCTACTGGCTGGTGGCCTTCCTCTGGGACTATCTCGTCATGGTGCTGGCCTTGATCGTTTGCCTCGCCATTGTGCTGATGTTTAATATGCCCGTTTTTGTGGATCGCCAGCAACTGTCTGGCATTGTGGGCTTGTCCCTAATGTTTAGGTATGCTGTGATTTCCAATACATTTCATAATTTGAATATATTTTCCTTCACTTGACTTAAATTCCACTTCTATTCAAATTATATTGCACCTGATTACATCTTTCTAAATTAATACTTTTTAACAATATTCCATATTTGTTCAGTTCCTATTATATTCTTATTTTACCAATATTTCACATTTATTCGGCTCAAATTTCACTTTTGATTTTTTCCACATCTATTTTTGTGTTCACAGTTTTGCCTGCGTGCCCGCCGTGCATGTGGTGGAGAAGATCTTTAGCGACTCGAGCATCGCTATTGTATCCATTTTTTGCGCCAACATAATCATACCACTAGTAACGATGGGCATCGTGCTGATCTTGGGTGTTGTGGGCGACGGACCCAGCTGGGACAGTTGGCGTCATGGCCTGAACAATGCCTTCCTTATATTTCCGCAGCATGCGCTGGGCGATGGCTTGCTTGAGTTGTGCAAGAACTACATGGCCGCTGTGGTCTTCAAGCGCTACGACATTGACTCCTACAGGGTGCCATTGGCCAGTGATCTGCTGAGTCGTCACTTCACCGCCCTTGCCATCGTTGGCATTGTGTGCGTATTGCTCAACCTGCTCATCGAGCTGCATCTGCTTAGCCGCATGTGGCATCAGGTGACGAGCTTCTTCGATTGGCAGTACCGGCGAGAGCTGCGCAAGCTGGGCCAGCTCAAGCTCGTCAGCATACAGAGCATAATGAAGAGCTGCGTCAGCGCCGGCGAGGCTCTACGTGTCGACAATCTTTGGCTCGCCTACCGACGCGGACGCTATGCGGTGCGCCAGGTGCACTTCGCCGTACACCACGGCGAATGCTTTGGGCTGCTTGGCAAGAATGGAGCCGGCAAATCGACCATTTTTAAGCTACTCACGGGTCAGCTGCTGCCGAATGTGGGACAAATCTACTTTGAGCATGTAAGTTACTAAGCACTGAGTGCTGGCTGGTTAGGTGCGGGTTGATGTATAAATGCTTACTGAAAATAATATATTGTAATTATAGTTCAGCATGGCAAGCGTGTTCTTATGGGGGATAGTAGCTAAAAACTTAATACACTTCGAATAAATATTACCTTTCAATGCCCCACAGCCCAGCATTTCGTACTGTCCGCAGAGCAATCCACTCGATCCGCTGCTAACTGTGAAGGAGTGCATCCAGCTCTATGGTCAGCTGCGTGGCATCAAGCAACTGGATCAGCTGTTGGAGCGCATTCTGGATACGTACGAGTTGCGCAGCTATCGGGATGTGCAGGTGAAGAGACTGAGTGGTGGCAATCGACGCAAGCTGACTGTGGCTATCAGCTGCTGCGGTTACACGCCCACCATATTGATGGATGAGCCCACTAGTGATATGGATCCGGTGACGCGTTCCTTTGTCTATCGCACCATTGAGCAGCTGTTGGCGGCTCGTCGTGCCGTCTTGCTGACCTCGCACTCCATATCGGAGATCGAGCACTTGTGCCAGCGCGTGGCTGTGCTTAAGGATGGCAAAATCGTGGCCAGCAACAGTCCGGCTCAGTTGAAGGCCCAGCATGGTGGCTATTATGCCATCAGTTGCTTCTGTGCGCCCATTCAGCAGGCGGCGCTGGCCAAGATGCTGCCCCAGCGTCTGCCTAGTGCCTGTGACCTGCAGCACCATTCGCATAGCTTGCGATTCCTCGTCAAGATACGTCAGCAGGCGAACAGCTCGAATGGTTCGTCTGGCTCGTCTGGCTCGTCTTTCAAGCAGCCGACGCTCGCTGAGCTCTTTGATACGGTGCGGGATATGGCTGCCAGTCTTCAGGTGCCGGTGAACTTTTCGATCAGTCGCTGTCGCTTCGATGCGGTCTTTGAGCGGATCCTGGACAACAGCGAGGCAACAACAAATGGCGCCAGCGATCTGCCCTCAAAGTCAGCAGCAGTCAGCGGCACCCTGGAAACAGGCTATGTGCACTGCGGCTTCGAGGAGACCATGACCTGAATCATATATATATACCACAAATCAATTTTAATGTGCAATGCTGTCCGTCTGTCAGTCCGTCCATCTTCATAAACATAATTTTATTTGACGCAGCTTAAGCTTGACACTTTTCCGCTGTTTCAAAAATAGGAAAACAAAAACTTTGAATTGAGTTTACCAATAACCGCCACCACCTCTTGAACGAAAAACTATATTTTACTCTTTTCGAGTCGTTGGCTAAGATTTTTAGAATTTTAGAATAACTATTGTCATTACCATTATCAAGAAAGATCACTCGAACTTGTTTTCAACGGTTACAACACTAGGATTGGAATATTCCGAACTTGACGTTTTTACTTATTTTTTTTTTTTTTAATTTTTTTTTAGTATTAATATTAGTTCTTTAAATATTTTGTAGTCGAATTGTTTTACTATCTTATGTCTATATTATGTTTTATATCATAGGAAAATTACTGTGTGATAAGTTAGGACGCTTTGTTCCAGTGATAGGTTAACGGTAAATGTTGGTTTAGGTTCCCAGGTTTGTTCGGTTTCGGTTTCGAAGGCATCTTGAATCATTGTGTGTAAAAGATTTCAAACGAATTACGATTACGTTATTTATCTATGTACTTATCTTATAACGATATCGATCGCCGTTGAGTGCAATGAAAGGTTTCAGCACTAAGCGGACAGTTCAGTCTATAAATGGGCGTGTTGGTTTCCGTTTGAAACCTTTTGAACGCCACTAACAAGTACTTATGCCAGTATGTCTAGTTAACTATCTACTATAAATAATGAATGTAAAATGATAATGCTTGATATGGTTGTAATTATAATAATTATATAGTTGAGTCCAGGGGCTGAATGCATTTTATATCTATATTGAATAAATCAAATTTAGCTGTGTATAATACTTGTGTACATTTTCGGTTAATTTGCTGTTTTACTTTAATCTCTAATTAATATCAAAAATATTTTCTCTTCTATGTATTATTGTTTTGCGTACCATTAAAGGACATACATTTATTAGATTAAGAAAGCTTGGTTTTAACAAATTTTCAGTACAATTTTTTAATCCGGTAAGGTCCTAAAAAATCGAAAAAGCCGTAAGGACTATACGAATTTTATTCGGCCTACGTATAAATGGTCGACATTTCTTTAATAACTGAGATAAAATCAGTAGTATCTCAACTGTTTCCTTTCATATAGAATTACTATTTTTTCAGCTGTATTCTTTGTATATCTTTATTATTAACTAACAAATATTATCGTGACGACATTCAGAAAATGGTTCTAAAGCAAGAAAAGTGAGCCGTAAAAGTGGAAAGCTTGCGAGCTAAATGTTAAATATTTAATTAAGTAGTTGAAAGCGCCAAAATTGCAAGAGCACTGGTCTATAGAAAAATGTAATTATGCCAAATGGTGTTACATTAACTAAATCTCAACATGAAAGCCCTACTGGTCACTGTAGACCGAAGTTCATTTCCATAATCTGTGTGAGTGTGCATGAAGTTGTGTGTGTGTGTGTGTGTATGTTTGTGTCTTTGTATGAGTGCGTGTGTGTGTGTGTGTTTTTGAATGGAAGCTTTTGAGGTTTTTTGTTTTTTTTTTTTGTATTGTTTGGCCAAAAGAGTAACTGGGCAAGGATCGACCGACGATGGGTTTGAAGCTATGCAATATCATGAAACAACTGCCGCACCAAAGCGTTTTGCATATTTTCTATTTGAGTTGCCGGCTGCGGTGCGAATGGGTGGTGGTTGGGCAGTGGTAGTGTAGTGGTAGGCTTGGCAATGCCGAAATTATTTTTTCAAAGGATTAAATTAAATTCCATTTGGCCTGGGTAAAAAAAAAGAAAACAACTTTGAAATGCCCAGGTAACACAAGCGCCAGAATTTAAATCAGCGTAAAAAGAACATAATTAAAACTGTTTGTAAAATTTGCTCACGTACTGAACCTGTAACGTAATTAATATGCGCAGATTGGGCGTTTGTGTGGGGGTGTGTACAACTGCAATCTGATATATTTAGCTGCGAATTGTTGCTATACCCTGTGTCCCTATTTTTTATTTTTTTATGCATCAGCGGATAACAATGTTTAGCAAAATTTCTTATTATTTATTTATTACATATGAAATAATTACTTCGGAACGAATAGGTATTTTCAGCATAGTAAATATAGCACATATATAATTTAATTTAGTTGTGAAGGTAACATCCAAATTAATACAAGATTCAACTTAATTTATTGTGTAAATGTAAAAATGTAAAAAACTGGCTGAAGAGAAGTCTGATATCTATGGATGGTGGAGAATAGGAGAAGCATTCGCATTACCTTCATTTTAAGATAAGCTGCCCAAAGAACTCAATTAGTCTTTGCACTGTCACGCCCATTTAAGCTGACGACCTCCAGCGGTACAGCAAGTATCAGCTGGCCACTCTATTAAGGTGGAGGTGGTAGGATTGGGGAGGAGGTCATTGAGGTGCATTTTGCTTGGTATTAACTTTGTTTCGCCTTGCACCAAAAGTTTTGAGCCAAGCGCGCTGATGAGAAAGTTCAGAAAAGGTGCGAAGTCCAGCGGGTGTTCCACAGCTCTTCTTACACTTTATCTTTACATCCTAGCTCATTCCAGCCCGCTGCTCCTCTCTGTCTCTCTCTCTCTATATATATTTATATATATATAAAGTATATATATATATATATATATATATATATATATATACATTTTGCTCTCTATATATCTCTCTCGTTCTATATATATTTTAGCGCCTGTGTGCATGGCAATAGCGACTGCTACAAACAAACAAAAACTAGCTCTGCCCTCGAGCAAGCAATAAGAACATCCACGGGCAGCACTCGACGCTGCAACTGTCAAGGAAATTTGAAAATAGCGTGAAAATGTAAGCGAAAAGTAAAGTTAATTGTTGTCCGTTGGCCATTCAAGAAGAACCACACACACCCACACACACACACACACACAAGTTTATAAGTAATGCAATCTGTCTAGTAAGCAAAAAGTTTACAAATAAGCTGAGGTAACAAACTAATGGCAATCAGTAAAGTCGTCCTGTTTGCTTTGACTGCTTGCCACTAAATTATTCAGCACTTAAGTGGCAATAAGCAACCTTAATAACTGACATAAGGTAATAACTTATTAAAACAAGATAATGGTGTACCGCAGTACAAATTTCATATGATGGATGTTGGATACAAGTATTATTATTATTTTGTCCAACAACTCAACTTGGGCTCCCAGCTAGAGCCAGAAGTGCCACTAGAAAATCATCATCTATGACTCACAGTATTAATCCGTTTTTGGAAATATTGAATACGAGTTTTGCAAAATATTTTGAACTTTTGATTTTTTCATCTACATGAAAAAATCGACACTGTTTTGTTTATTTATTTTTTCAATGCATGAAAATATATCATAGTACTTTTACTATGACACTTCGACGATTTCTCTTTCAATCGTCGCACAATCGGTGACAAAAATACAATTCCTTTGCCAGGGGCATAAGAAGAAGAAGAAAAAGACAAAAACTAATAATAAAATAAATATAATTTGTTTTTCCTGTTCGCTCTTGTCGCTTCACCTATGCCCATATTCGCTTCCGGCTAGCCGACAGAGGCCACACAAATTACTTAAAGATAAACGAGCCGCAGTGAAGCCATGGATAAAGGGCTGGACCTGGAGAGAAGGTCAAAGGCAGAGGAAACGGGCCGACGGCACCCATGCATTATATTCGCTTCCCCTCAATTTCAAGTTTTGTCTTCCCACATTCAACACATGGCGTTTTCTTTGAGTGATGAAGTATCGCCCGGTCGCCTGACCAGGTTTGGTCCTATCCTGGCCCACTTACCCATCCTTGCGCTCGTTCCCACCATGTGCCTGTGCCCGTTAACGTCTCCGGTCGAGTCGCCGGTTTCTGACATAAGGCATACCAATTTTTTTCTTTTGCTCTCTGAATTGTATGAAGCGGATTTTGGCAAGTGATAAAATGTTTTATGTGCTCGAGTGTCTGATAACAATAAATAACGCCATCAGCGGAACCAGGCGGAAACCGTGCGAGTAGCAAAGCAAGCAACTTGGCAACCAGGAGACCGGGCGACAGGGCGACCGGGCGACCATTGGAGAAGCCGACACCACCGGGGACATGTAAACAAATTGGTGCTGAAAGCCCTTTGACAGGTCTCTATTGTCGGTGCCAAGGAGGCATTGATTCTGCGTAGCATCAAATGAAATTTGTGGCAAGTTGTTTGTTTAGGTTTCGGCTGATAACCCAGGGCGTTCACCACACTGAACCCGAGCGTCATTGTTTCTCTTCCTCTCAATTTATTTTTGCCCTATTTAGTATTTTAATGATGAATTGTAATCAGCATAAATTTGCGGCACAGCGTCCTGCATTTATATTGTTGGTCTATTAATCATCCCGCCCTTTGTTTGTCGCCATTACACAGACCCAACCGCCAAGTCCTAAGCCCCTCGCCACCACATCCTGACCCCACGCAATTTTCCAAATTCAGATTATGAAGTCTGAAGTATTTGACTAGTTTGTGAAATGTGTGCGCCTCACGTTTTAGGTATGAATACTGGCAGATTTTTAATAACATTTGAAAAAAACTTCCGGAGTGGCTTAATGGATGCAAAATTTACTGAAATCGGCAGTATATTCTCATACTCAGCATGATACATTCATGGATTTGGTCTGCAGAGGGTACACAGATACATATACATATACATATACATGTCTAATGGAATCCAGCCAGCTGTCTTTTCTTATTTTATGCGATTTTGTCATATTTGGTTGAGGTTTTCATAAAATCCATGATATTAGACGCAACACTTGCACAACAGCAGCAATCAACTTTAGAACGGTATACAGTAAATGGAAAAACCAATTTATTTTATCATCAAACGAGTTGTGAAACTGTTCAACAATATTAAATGCTTCATAAATAAATACAAAATGTATTTACAATCAAAATATTTGTTGTTTCTTTTTTTCATTTAATATTTTTGTATAATTCATGCAACGAATGTTAAAAGCAAACCGGCAGCTCTCAGATATTGCAATAATGTTTGATAATATTAAAAGTAATTAAATTTATTAAAACATATCCGTGTATGAGACAAGCACTTCATTTCTGTTGATTGCGAAAGTTGATTTCATATTAATTTACATGGACAAGACCACAAATCGGTGTTTCGCTTCTGCAATGATTGTATTTAAATAAACATATACACTGACCTTTACTGGCAAGCCCTATCCAATTTCTGGTTCTTGGCCGAGGCAAGCGAAGCCTGCTAAAGTAAAGTTTTGTGCAAATGCAAAAGAGAGCGCTCCTTGCCCCTCTGCAACTTGTAGCAAGAAGTTGCGCATGCTGAGATATTCTCTGTTCGGGAAGACCCTTAGCCTTATTACGATAAACGATGGCCACTGTCTCAATCATTGCTACTGGGAAGAATGATACTCTTCAACAGCCAATGGTGGCAGGCCTTCAGCAAATTAAATTAGTTTTTGATGGATATTTTTTGGAGTCTCCTCCAGCACTTCTGCGATAGCTGCCATGGATGCAGTTCTAATTGCATGCCCAACTTATTGGGTCAAATTTAGATATTTTTGCACACGCAGCCACACAAATCAAAATCCTTATAGTTATCCATTAACATGTACTTAAAACATTTAAAGTATATTTGTAATGAGTAAGGTGTATGTAAGAGACAGAGAGAGAGAGAGAGAGAGAGAGAGTGAGAGAGAGAGAGAGAGAGAGAGATAGTAAGAGCGTGAGTAAGAGCGAGAAAAAGGCTGAAACATATTGCATGCATAAGTGCAGTCTGCATTTACGTTGCACATTCCATCGAATGTAAATCAAATAAATCCACTATTTATTCCATTATGTAGAGCTCGGAGCGATTCGGAGGTAGC